AGGACCTTGGTCCACTAGACAGTTCTACCTAAAAACCCACAAATGTCTTATATATCAACTTCTCTGTAGTCTGTATAGATAGTCATAATCTGTTTACTAGATGGTTCCAAGCATGGACGGCAATACACGGCTTAGCCAAGAGAATCTCTGGTTAAACATTACAGGTCAGAACAAATTCTGTTTGTCTGGTTTGCCTAATTTCTAATTTCTTAATCTCAACTATTCCATTCTACGGGAGAAATCATAAATCTCATCATACTTTCCAATTGAAATTCAATCGTAATTTTCCTTGCCGTAGCCGGTTCTAAAGCTAGCATTAACAAAGGATTACGTTCCACTTTCTTTTGCTCCAACTTACGATTGCATTTGAGCTGGTCGACGGGTCACATTACAGACGCGATATTTTCGACGCATTTGACCGCAGTGAGTTATCTCAATTTTGAGTCCTTTGATCTCCTTGGTGAACTTAACGCGCTGCGAATCGGTAAGTGGTTTACGTTGTTCATTAATGTCGCGAATATCCAAAACCTCGCACATAAAATCAATGACAGGTTGAGCCTTGTAAAAAGCAGTAGCCGAAACTGAAAGAAAAAAATTAGAATTTGTTGAGCAAATTTACATCGGGCTATTTACTCCCTCCACTCACCATCAATGTTGAGCATCATTTTCCACTGCGATGGTCGCACGCTCTGATGGAAACCGAACCAGACTTCACGACCGCCACCCAAAGGATGATAGTAGCCGTCGGGTGAACTAAAGAAACTGCGTCCTACTGGCGTGTACGCCATGCTAGGCAAGTGCCGCATGACCACATCAAGCGCTAAGATGGCATCATAGGGTATTTGGCGTGTACGTCCCTCCAGAGCTTCCTCCAGATTAAAGAGCGACACCTGCGCCTGCCACTTAATCGTCACACGAAAGATGCGATCCTTGCCCTCACCGGGCAGCGTCACCTCCAGCTCCAACCGTTCATTGCCAATGGGCAACGGATCGCGTGTATACAAATTGTTGCGTCCATCAAAAACTGGCTTAAGCACCCCAAATATCTTGCTGTAAGCCTGCACCATAGTCTCGATGATCTCACGATTCACCTTACGCGGACACTTGTCCGGCTGTATGTTGATGTCATAGTGATGTACGAAGCCACGTGGCATTGTCACCTGAAAGTGATTCGCACGCAACACAATCGGCCTGCCCTCCCGTCCTAAATTTGGGCGACGTGGGCACGTAAAGACGGGCATATCGGGCTGCGTTGTGGGCGATGCCTCTGCCGCAGCAATCGCTGCCGAAACGCCCGTGGTGCCCAATGCAGAGGCCACTTGAGCAGCAGCTGCAGCTGCGGCCCCACCAACGGTGGCACCGCCTGCAGCAACATTCTGAGCACTCGGACTGGTCACAGCGGTGGGATTTACAGATGAACCGGGCGCTGGTGGTGCTGTAAAAGATTTAGAATTAGTCTAATCAAAAGGAAAAGTCTACTTAAGTAAAAAAGAAAGAGCAAATAGATAAAAACGCAAGTAATTAACAACTAGGCGACGCTCTAGCAACTAGGCACATAATTGTACTAAGTAAAAGCTAAAAAACAATTCTATTCGGTCAACCGAATTTTTCATACTCTTGCAGAAAGTTTTTAAAACTAAATTTTGAAGCATCTGTGCTGTGCGATATAAGAACTAATTGAGTGGTTTCTGCTTACCTTTAAGAAACTAATATATCTTTACAAAACTTCCTTATCAATGTTTAGAAGTTCGTATATAATGAAATGCTATATGAAAACTTATCACTATACATTAGACTTCGGTTTACGTACATATATGACGACTATGCTTTAGTCAATAGAGGTATATTAAAAATATAATTAAGTATATCTATTATAATTAGTTAATCTTTCTGTCTTCTGTTTCCGTTGGAAATATCTTAAGCCACACTAGCATTTAAATGTCGCTTTATAAATTAATCAAACTTGATCAAACATTGAAACAGACATGCGGACTATGCCATATTTGATTATATATCTATATTATATAGCTTATAATAATTTTATAATTATAATAACTTCTGAAAGGGTACTCAAAGAACGTTACGAGTAACACTCGCATGCAGTTAGTTGCACTACACGAGTAAAAAGATAAACGATAAACACAAAAGTTATGCAACGCTATTTATAACGGTAAACGCGCTGTGTAGAATTTTTATTTTGTGTTGAGTTTTCTCTTTTAGTACAATTGTGCATTTAGTTTTGCATTCAACAAATGTAAAAATTATAAACAAACATTACATGAAACGGAAAAATGTTGTTAGTAAAAATTTTGCACATTACTATGAAAATTAGTGTGTAGACTTTTTTTTGGAAGGTTAGTAAGGTGTAGACTTTTGTTAATTAGAATTTAGTAAGTTTTTTCTTTTTTTTAAACATCGAACTTAAGAACATAAACAAGTTTTGGTTTTCAATTTTTTGATTTTTGTTTTTAGTAGTTTTTAGTAATTTGGTTTTGTTGGAGAAAAATTTACATGTGAGCGTGTCGAAGCTAGTCTGCGCCTGAGAGGGGCTCTGAGGCCGCGTGGGCGAGGAGGTGGTCCACTGTGACTCTATAAAAAGAAAATTTAATCAAAATCAAAATTGTCAAAAATTAAACAAAAAAGAAATGAAAAGAAGAAATATAAATGTTAAAATAAATCAAAATGTAAAAGAAAATTACAACAAATGGCCAATCATGTTTATTAATTAAATGAATATAATGAGAAATAAAGACCAAACAAATAGAAGGCGATAAAGAAAAAATGTTGAATATTATATAGTGCGATTAATATTTTTAGTTACAGCTTTCTCCCAGCTTCATTATCCATATATAATTTTTATTAAGAAACAATTGTATATCAACCACATGTTTGTGTGTTCGTGTTTCTGTGTGTATGTGGATGTCCGTGTAGAGAGCAGCAGTGTTACAATGACTAAATATTTTTCATCTAATGCAGGCTCCATCATTCTTATTCTTACTTTTCATTTACTGTTGTCCCACTGTTTCGAACAATATCAAAGCGACAAATCTAACAAAACTCTACCAACAGTATTCTACATACTTATCCTTATGCCTAACACGCAAAATACAACAACAAAACTGCGTCGTATTGAAACTTCTCTCTGAAGGGGTAATCGCACGAAAGAGAGAACGAACCAACTAACGGAAGAAAGGATGAACAAATACTTCACTTGAACCCCACCAGAATAGCGCTCAACTATTGCGTTGCGGTCGTTGACCCAATTTGCGCACATGTTTGACACAAACGCCTGGCTTTCCTGTATCTCTGGCCCTCTCTATCGCTCTCTCAATTGATGCGCCAATGTCTACAGAATTCTACAATCGTTATTGTGTTCTTCCTCTTTATGCTGTTAGCTTAATGCATTCGTTTATTGGAGCTTTGAGCACTATTGCATTTCACAGTTACTCAACAACTGTCTCAAGTGCCTCGCCCTCGGCCATTTTACGCATTCATTCATTCTCAATTTGATTATGTTTTGGAGAGTTTTGTTTGCAAAGACAAACGACGACGTTTGATTGCGTTTGCAAAAGTAGAACAACGAAGGGGGGTATGACTGTGTGTGTGTGTAACATGTGGCAGATTTGTAGACTGGTTTTCTTTTCAATTGCAATATTTGCCACTTACGTTGTCCAACTGGATACATTTTGCACTAGTATTTGTTTAAGAAATGTAAGAATGTATACAAAGGTTTTTTGTTTATTTATTTGTTTTCGCTTTTCGTGTATGTGTTTTAAATGTAATTGATTGTTCTTGTAGTTGGGTTTTCTTTTGTTGCTTTTCGTTCCTACTAAATATTATATTTTGTTTTTTTATTTCAGCCTTTTGCTTATCACACTTTAAAGTAGTTTTATTCGTTTGGTTGATTTTCGCATTTATAATTTTTTGTTGCGGGCGTATTTTGTTGTTGTAAAAATTGGAATTTTCCACACAGGACACACGTTTATTTGTTGTTGTCGAGTCTTCTTTCAATTAATTACTGTTATTACTATTAATATTTATACTTTAAATATTATTCTTATTGTTGTTTATTGTAAGTATTGGAAAAGAACACAAATGTAGGCACAGCTTTCGTTTTATGCATATGTTTGTATGTACATGTATACATACACATACATATTCATATGTATGCACATATGTATTTCTAATGCTCTTATATTTTGGTTTATACAACTAAGAACAAATTATTCTTTATGCTTCTTTATCTTGATTTGGCTGTATGAGTGCGCGTGTGGGTGTTTTATATAGATGTGTGTGTAGGTGTGTGCTGGGTGCTCCGCTGGACAAACGACGACAACGACGACGACGGAGGCGCTTCTACAGCAAGAAAATGCTTTTGTATGCGTTTTAGATTGGGCAGCAGAAAATGTGTGTGCACACGTATATATATAGATTTGTTTTATTTTTCGAGACGTCGTTTTTGTGCACCCGAACACGTATGCGCTTCCAAAAACTATGCACAAACGTTAGCCAGACTATTGTATTTGAATTTTCAACAATTTTTGTTAGCTTTTCACGTCGCGCATTATGCAAAATATGCAATTTTCATCAGTTTTTCACACTTGGACGTCCCGCAGCAAACACAAAATTTTTAACTCGCGACGTGTGTGAGTGAGACGCATACTGTGTACGCTAACCACACTTAAATGAGGGCAAAGCACTTTGGCTGGGGGTTGGTGTGTGTGAGTGCGATGACAGCATGGTGCTGACGCTCAAGCGTGTGAGCGTGACGCATTTTCTGCAGCTTAAACAAAGTGTCAATATTATTTATAGAAATTGGTCATAATTATTAATTTTTAATATCTTTTACACGTTATTTTCATAAAATACATGTGTAAGGAAGTCGATTGTTAACTCAAATTGGCGCTGTTAAACTCAATATGGCAGCAGTAGTGTTGGCAAATTTTGGTTTAAGTGTTGAAAAAGTTAGACATTGCAGTGTGGCCACAGTCTACCAAGTCTGTACAGTTGGCAACGCTGTGTATTAGCAGCGCCGTGTGTGTTGTTACAAAACCAATTGCATTTGTTTTCATATTTGTTAACTAATTTGAATTGAAATGTCAATACCATTTAGCGGCACGTTACGCCGCTCGGGCGGCATTGTCTCGGCTATAGGCAAGCAGCTGAGAAGCGTTAATCTAAAAGGCGTTAAACGCATTACAGTGCAGTTTGATCCTTTTGCCGAAAATGTAAAAGCCACACGGTAAGTGAGCAAGTGAGCGAGCGAGCAAGAAGTAGATGGAATAAGAAGGAGACAGGGGGCTGGTAGGGATGGAAAAGCGCTTTCCCAGCGCCCCACAATTTATCGATTATGAAACATGCGCATCGCGACGCATATGGTATGGTGTAAAAGATTTTCACGAAACAAAAGTGCGTTGTCGAAATTTGTAACAAATGAAAAATGTATAAAATAAAATAGACAAAGTGCACCAAATTATGACACATAAAATATGATGGCAAAAAAATATAAATGTGACCACTGTGCGGCACAACTTGGTTTTGTCACTTACCATAAACCTTGCCAATAATGCCCACCGCTGTGTTCAGTTGCAGTGAGGTGCCCAAATCTGGGGGAAACGGCAGCGTATGGAGCTGAGCTGGTCCGCCAGCCAGCTCCCGCTCCGTTGACATTTTAGTCGGTGTCGGCGTCAGCTTGAGGCGTTGTTCCTTCTATCCCCACTGACAGAGACAGCTGAAATGATATGTGAATAATACATAGACAAATTAGTGAAGAAATCGATTTACTATTTAAATTAGAAATGATATATAGGAGTACATTAACAAAAAGAAAAAGCTTCTAATATATTCTAGTTAATCACGTTTAATTTGTATTAAGCAACAAATGCAAAAACTATGCATGCGAAATTTGTCTATTATGGGAAATTGATCTATAAATAGACTTGGAGCTCAGAAAGCAGTGGAAAATGAGTTTAAAAATCAATTGAAGACACAAATATAAGGAAATACCGATAAATTAATTTGCAATTGCAATAATAATGGGATTATAACGGGAATTTTGCTCATATGTAAGCAAAATGCCTCTAAAAGCAAGAAAGAGCAAGAGCTATATGAGAGAATACACAGTTTCGACTAAACCCAATTGCCAAATATATGTATATATATTTGTATTTTTAATGTAATTCTATATTCCTTTACTACACAGCGAGTTTCTCTTCCTGCTCTCCACGCCCAAAGTTTCGCAGTCGAATCCGAAGTGTATTGTAAAGCCGGATATTGTCTGCGATCGTTCACCAGCTTTCATTAAATTTGCGCTTATCGACTCGGCGCAAGGTAAGCTCATCAGCTAACGATTTTAAGCAACCAATCAATATTCATATGAATTCCTTTAAATGTATTTGCAGAGCAATCCAAGGTGAAGGAGATACGCTTCAACAGCGACAATCTAAATACTCTGGAATTGTTGCAGCTATTAAATAAGCACGTATCCACATTAGCGCCGCCGGAGGAGATTGCCAAAAAGGTGCTGACCAAGGCAGAAAAACAGAAACTGGGAGGCGGAGCTGGTGGCAAGAAGCCCATCAAAAAGAAATAAATTCCAAGGATAGCCCAGATCCTGGTCGCCACGTCATGGCGCGGAAGCACAAGGGCACACTGGCTGTCATTGAGCAGATCTATCAAGACATACCCGCTTTCACCGATATATTCACGGAGGAGAGCTTCTACACGTTCGCCTTTTGTTTCGTTTGTGCCACAGTTTTGGTGGCATTCATTTTATCGCGCTTTATCACCATTAAGCCTGTTGATTTCTGATTTGTGAGCCAGCATTAAAAATATTTAAGCTTTAACATGTAAAACACTCCACTCCATTGTCTTTGCTTCGCACGACTGCCCCTTAAAAAGGGCATGGGCATTGGGCATTATGCATTGGGCACTGGGGCTTGGCGACTCAGCGAGTCAACCAGTCGAAGATTCAACTTCAGAGCCTGTTGCCTGCTGGCAACAGAAACCAGTTTTGAGCAACAGCATCTCATGCACTTGCAAAGGCTATGCCAGAATTTGCAGAGCAGCATGTGACGCTTTCGATAAAACATTTTTGGCATACAAGCTTAAATATTTAAGAATTGGTTGTTTAGCGGAGTTCATATAGCATAAAGGTCTTACAGTTCAGAAGTTCGCTTGACAAAGCCTTCTAGGCATATTATATAATCTAATCGAGATCAGAGCATTTCATATACATTTACCTCTTTTCTTTTGTTTATTATTATTTGTATAACTTGCTTAAAATCTTTTAAATTGTTACCTCATTCAATTCATAACACAAATTATTTCGAGAGTTCACTAAGGTTGAATTTTTTATTTTCTTGTTTATTTTCCTTACAAAGCCCACAAAAATTCTTATTAGTTTAAGAGAACGAGCGTGGTCGACCGACCTCTAAAAATATGTATTTTATAAAAAAGTAATCATATATAAAGAAAAATAGAAAATGGAAAAAAATCGTCTAATAAAAATGTTATCAATATTTGGTTACCTACTATATAACAATATTATAAATTCGCTTAAAATGGGGAATAAGTTATTCAGGAAAATATTTCATAATTTTTAAAGTTCTATACAAATATTAAATGTTGATCAAATTTATATGACACATTTTTATATTTTATATTTTTGATTATATATTCGATATACAAATTTAATATTTATTTATAATCATATTTAAAAAAAAATAAATAAATCTTTTAAAAATTCTATCTTTGGAGAATGCCTGTTCCCTTTATGATTATAAAAACAACTAGTTAGACTAGATAAGCTGGAGAGCTTATGGTTTATACCAAATGTAAGAGTATTTAGTGTTCGGAATATCGTGGCTTTTTCTCCCGCTCTCTCTCTTCTTCTCGTTCGCCTCTTTTTGCAGCTTTTGCTTTCCTAAACCGGAAAATCATCTGCTTTGGCTGCACTCAGCCGAAAATAAAAAGTTGGGACAGTGGCTGCAGGAGAAGTTGACGGGAAGCTGTAGGAATAGGAGTGGGCAGAGAGATCGAGAGAGAGAGAGAGAGACACAGGACACGGCCTTATAATTGCATTGATTGCGCTTCGGGAGAATGGAAGGTGAGCGGGAGAAAGAAGCTACAGCAATATAATTGCCCTTAGTGCCACACATAATTGGAAACTCATATAATTGGACTTGGGAGAAGCAGGTCAATCTGAGCAAACCAGATAACTGGTCGCAGCGGCAAGACCATAGCCCTTTTATTTTGGGACTTAAAGAAAAACGTCTTCAACGGAAGTACATACATATAAGTACTTACATATACATGTACGAATGGTATGGCATTGCCTAAGGGTTAAACAGGTGTTTGCTTTGAAATAAATAGACCAAAGGCAAAGAAGAAGACGCAACAAACGAAGAAAAACACACAAAATTTCACTTTCGTTTCACCGTTTGCATTTTCTTTTTGCCACACACACACACAGAGAGACTAGCCGGAGGAAGAGGGAGATAGATAATAGTGTGAGTGGCAACTGAAAATTTCCAGCGGCCCCCTGCCAAAAAAATGCACTTGCCGCTCGCGCATTCAAAAGCCAAAGCTTCGAGTTAAACTTTTAAAATGGCGGGCGAATCGTGTGTGTGAGCAATGTATATCGATTAGAATTACTGCAGATAAAAACAACAAACTGTTGAGATGCAGCCTGCATAATCTGGAGAAAGCTGTTACAGCACATACTTTTTTAACGGCTAAAGCATGCACGTTTGTATGTGTGCGTGTGCTTTTATGTTGGTGTATTACATACATATATTTTTATGTATATAGATAGTGTCGTCATTCAAGTTCAATGTCAGAAAAAGCTTCTTGTTTCGTCTTTATGTGCGCTACAAATTGATTTGCCCAAAATGTTGTGCGTGGGTTTCGTCATGTCGGCCATATTGGAAATTGTTTTGTATTTGAATACCCCTATATCCTATACCACCTCTTTAGATTTCATCACATTTGTGTTGGAGGCCGCCTGTTTGCATAACCCAGACTTGTAGTTGGGGCTGCCAGTGAAAGTGTTCATAGAACATAGTGGCAACTCTCTGCATGTACAGTTGAATGCAATAGATACCTATACTGGCGCATTTATGGCCAATGTGTGTCCTTCAATCAATTTTATTGGAATATACAAAACATGCACACCCATACACATACACATACACATATATTGCTGCACTTGTACATGCCTGTGCCGCAGCAGTAAAAACGAAGAAAATTGCTCGTGTGACCTTTCTACCAAAACATAAACACAAACTGGCTCTCTCAACACAGCTGGTGGTCTCGCTCGCACATAGCGCTTGCTCTAGTGCAACTTTCATAGCATATGCTCAGGCGCCATCACAGCATAGCACACATACATACACACAAATGTAGACAATACATATATATTTATATGTAAATACATATATATATATAAAAGTTCCTTGAGCAACTTTTAGCTAAAATGGCGCGCGAGCTGAAGTTGCGTGGGCGTGCAGAAATTACTGCAGCTGTTCTGGAACATGCAGGCAAACGCGAGGCTCTTGGCGTTGCCACCCCCACACGCACACACAAATATAGTCACACACAAATATAGTGACACACACACTATCAGCTACGCTCACCTTATCGCTGAATTGCAGCTGATGCGGCGCTTTATGGATTTACCTATCAGCGACAAGTCGTTTGCTGTTCAACTTGTTCTTTTATCGTTGTTGCCGACTTTTTTCGATTTTCTGCTGCTTCTGATGTTGTTGTTATTATGTTTTTTCCAAAATTGTTACACATTAAAAATGAGTTGATTATTTGAACCGAGATCGTCACTAAATTTGGCTTATTATTGCTGTTTTTTCTTGTTTTTTTTTTTATTATTTACTGTTACTTTAATTGTTGTTGCTGTTTGGTTGGTTAAATTTGTGACGTGATTATTTTAGAGCTTATTGCTGCAAATTGTTGCCATTGCCGCAACGCAATTTCTTTTGCTGCTGTTTTTGTTGTTGGTGTTGCCAGATCGTTACCGGGATAAAGTAACTTTTCCTCTCTAGCTCTCTCTCACGCTCACACACACATTCACACATCCGCAACAAACTTGCGAATTTATTTTTTTATTTCTATTTATTTTTTCTTTTTTTTTTGTTTATTTGTCTTAACAACAGTTTTTGCAGCCGCTGACGTTTTTTCATACACTTCTTTGCAAGCTTTTTTGTGCATGTGTATGCGTGTATGCGAGTGAGCGAAAGATTTTGACGTCGACGACGTTCGCTCGTTTCTGCTCACCAATACCAGTGCAGCTGGCTAACCGCTCTGCCGCTGCTGCTAATTGTTGTTATTTCTTTTTCTTTTTTTTTTTGGTATTTGTTATTGCGGCGACGCGCTAACTTTTATGCCATACAGTTGAGGAAAAAGCTTTTCCCAACAATGCGGCGCGCAGTCATGCATTAAAAAAAATATAAAACAAACGTACACACATTCATACATACACACATAAACACATATGTGAGTGTGGCAACAGCAGCAGCATCAGCTTGCTGCAAAATTAAAGCAGCAACAAAAACAACAGCTTACGACGCAAAACAGCAATAGAATTTGTGTTTTATGTTTTAAAAAATATAACCGCTATACAGCATTAACACATACATACATTTACACAGTTAAATTGAGCGCGTTTGTTATGTTTTTTTTTGCCGAGATCAAAATACGAAATCAAAATCAAGCGATTTAGCGAACGCGCGGTTTGCCCGTTTGAAGTTGAATAAATACACATATCTGCTCCAAGTATTCGCAAACCATGCACACACACTTTTTCGTTGTGTTTGTGTGTATCTGTGTGCGCTTGCCAAGAGAGCGGCGGCGCGTGAGCGCAACGAAAAGAGAGCGCTAGAGAGGACCACTAACACAGTGCGTGCAATTTGTATGCGTATGTGCGCCAAAAAATCATAACACACACACGAGTCAAGGGCAACTGGAGTAACGGTTGTTTCTAGCAACAGCCTGGCAGCACTTGTCGCTCGCATTCACATACAGTAGTAACTCAACACAACGCACAGCTTGCGTATAATTTAGGAGTAATAAAAATATGACCCGTAAAATAATACATTATTTTATAAAAATTTGAAACAAAAAAAAAAAAAACAAACTGCATATTTGTACAACAATGGTCCACTGTACTAAGCCATTCCATTTCAAATCTTCATTTTTGAATATTTGCTAAGTCTAAATATCGCTGAAGCTGCGTATGTTCCATAAGGCTACATTGCACTGTACTAACTATGAAATTCTTACCTGTTGGCTCCTCAACTTTTTGCTCAAAAGATGTTTCACTGTACTAACCTAGTCGTACAAGCAGTGTACAGTAAAAACTCCATTAGTTTAGATCCTTATATATACTAATTCAAAGACTTGTATTTTGAATTACACAACTGTTTCTTCTTAAAAAGACCATTTTATAGCCTTAATTTGACTACATTTTCTTAAGCTTTCGTTCGCTTATAGCAGCATCTACAGTACTAACTCCAACTCTAACTAATCATTTCTATCGGACAAAATGTATTCTTAAATAGAGTGCTTTATCACTTATAATATATAGGTGTTTCAACTTGGGTTGGTTTAAGTGAATCTTCACTGTTCTCAGATAGTATTTAATGCCTAAATAGCAACATTTGCATGGCCAATTTATTTTGAATCGAAAACTTGATTAAATGTGCAAAAATAATATTGATTGGGTTGGCATATCCACAAAATCAGAAATTACAATTGATAGAGTCGCTATGTGTTCATGTGAGTGTTTCAGAGTCTGTCTTTTTGCCTGGCCTATAGTACGAATATATATATATAGATTTATGTATGTCGGCTATATAGTATATATGTCTATGTATTATTTTGTGCGCGTTATTTCTTCTCATCCGGTTTATCGGCTGATGCAGCTGCTGCAGCGGCGCTCTCTTCGGCATCGTTCTTCTTCTCGGCAACAGGAGTATCCTTGGAGGCGGATGTGGGCGTGGTATCATCGGCCGCCATAGTCGCGCCCGCTGGCAAACTCTTCTCCAAGGCACGCACGAACTCCTCCAGATTGCCCGAATAGGCAGCCGCAACCGCATCATGGGATAGCTCGAATTGCTTGACCACGGGTCCTAGTTGAGCCGATTGGAGGGCATTGGAGAACTGGGCGAGTGCCTGCTGAAATTGTGGGGAGCTGATGTGATCCTTGATCTGTTGCTTGCGATCCTCATCGGCATCTTCCGATTCCGGTAAATGTACGATCAGCGACTTAACACGCTCCGGATCCGCAATCAGTTGATTGATCGCCTCGGCGCCCGACAGGGCAGTTGAGAGGTCGATATTTAGGGAGCGACCTGCGCCATGTTCAGGGGAGAGATTGGATAAATAGGCTTGGAATGGATTCGCATATGCTCCGCTGGCTGTTGCTGCTGTTGTCGCATTTGTCGCATTTTTCTTACCGGATCCGTCCGCATCGACAGCCAAGCTGCCGCCTACGACCCCTCCTCCACTGCCGCCTCCAGTTCCTCCAGCTGCATCGCTCTGCGAATTGGCTGCGTTGCTTCCACCGCCGGAGCTGCTGCTCCGATTGCCACTCGACTTGCTCGGCTTACTGGGAACGGATACTGTGCGCGGCACATTCACATTCTCAGGTGTTTGCAATGCGGCGCTGCTGCCACCGCCCGATGAAGCTGCATTACGTGACGAGGGCGTCCGTGAACTGAAAGTAGACACAAAAGCAGCATGATTATAAATGGGATGAAACTCTGATGATGTACGGTGAAATGCCATGAGAATTGCAAAGAAAGGCGATAATAAAAAAATAAGTGATGAGTGAGGTAGGCAAACTAAAAAGGATTTCGTGTCCAATTCTAAGCCAGGATATATACGTCTTGGTAGAAATATTTTAATTTTTGAATTATCCTATTTCTTGGTTATTTCTTATACCATACATATGGCGTTTAATTGTATTTTTTGTATCAAACACAAAACGTTTCAGCCAAATTTGTATTGTACAATTTTTTCTCGATATTACTTTCTCAACTGAACTTCGCAAAACTAACTCATTAAATCAAATTACAACAATTCATCTGGTTTGGGTGACTTACGGGGAACTACTATAATGTAATGGAATTTGTTGAAACAATGTGTTCTGGAAATTAAACTTTTTCGTATTTCTGAGGAACCTGACTATATCGTCAAAAGCTTCAGTGTCTTACAATTCTCCATATAATTGTAAATAAACATTTATCTATCAGAGAAGGTATATAACTTAATGTAATACAAGAATATCTCACTTCCAATATACAAAAAATAGTCTACAATTTAGTTGTGTCTGAGATATGCCGCTTCGCCAAGATTACATATATATTTTATATATTTAACTAAATATTGTTAAGGTAAATAGAAAAAATATGGATATATCTTGTATGCCTACAAGATTTGTTATATATATTCTCTTACTATGGACTAGACTAGACTGGACTGGACTGAACATATAATATAATAAAAATAACAAATGTACCCCGTTATATCTGACACACTCCGTATAACATAATATAAATATATTCTGCTTTATTATATAGTATGTAATCCATTTGCCCTATCTTTGGATTTTCTATATGCATAAGTAGAACAATCATTTACAATGAATGGAATAAATATTTCGTTTCCACTTGCAATTTGGCTAAATAACAAAGTAATACTGAATTTTACTGCGCATTTATATAAATTTTTATAGACGTTTCCCCTTTATATACAGAATGTAATCACTATCTATGCTAGGCTAGGACATCCCTCTCTGCTATTTATATATGTAAATACTGTCAATGTACTACATTTCTGCCGTTTCCATTGTCTCGAATATGCAGCGTTTCCACTTGCTCTGTTTGTTAAAGCTTCCTAGCTGATTAAGCCATGTATCACACATTAGTTATATTATTAACGAATATATCTTTTGAGTTCGCTTGCTTCTACTTACTTCATTTGACCCAGCAGCGAGCTGAGTCCGCCCATTTGGCCGACACCTCCGAATAACTGCATTAGCTGCTGCTGCGACATGTTGTTTAGCATGTACTGCAAGTCGGTGCCTTCGCTGCCGCTGCCGCCTCCGCCGCGTTGGTGAGCCGATGGTGGATTGTTAAGGAGCTCGTTGATGCGACGGCAATGTTCGTCATCTTTGTCAGTTTTGGGCTCCTGCATCCAGAAGAATATTCGGCGGGAGCTGGACTTGAATTTCAAGACGTAGACACGACCCGACTTGCATTGATCGACTCGTTTGTATTCGAAGTCGTCGGGGAAAACGATCAGATCGTCTTCGATCTTGCCACTGGTACGGTCTTTCCAACAGAAATGCATTAGGCCATCATCACTCTGGGTCATATAGACGAGGCCCTTACGGGCATCCGGATGAACCATTTTGCCGACCATATTCATGCGTCCAGCACGAAATTCCACAAGATTGGAGCTATTGGAGCTGCCCAAACCGCTTTGCCTGCCAAACATAATGCGGGCGCTTCTCGAGAGCTGTAATTGTATTGGGTGTTAAGTTCTTTTCATTTTTATTGGTGTTTGCACACTCACTGGATATATAATGTGTGGGAATAAATACAAATTTGGTAATTCCTTAAATAAAAATCGCCTGCTTTGCGGATGACGAGCAGTTTTTAACACCTTCAGCTAGTGATGGGAAACAGTTCGATATTGAATCATATTAGAGTTGCCAATGTCAATTGTGTTATGTTAACAGCATTTTTTGAGTAAACAAATATTGTACACATTTCAAAATTTTGGGCTGCCACATACTCTTTGAAAGTACCTACATTAATTTGATATAAATGTCCCCAAAGTTCTTTGATATAAGTTTATTACATTTTTATCTATTATTCTTAAAAATCATTTTATTTTTGTCACCACGTTAAAAAGTAACAAAAAGTATGCTTAAAGTTTAAAATCATTGCATAACAATATGAAAATAAAATGAACACATCTAACAACTAAGTATAAGCTTATAAACCATACTATTGTCTAAAATGCATATTATTTATATATAATAATAATTCATTTATATTAAATAATTTTCTTGTAAATGGTACAAATAATTTCAACAGTCTGGCAGCCTTAGTGAGATTAGCAGTATGACCATAATGCTTGAAAGTTAATATATATGTATGTAAGATTTCTTCGCAACAACAATTCGCAGCTGAACTTATTTAAAACCGAAAAGTGTTCGAGTAAGGTGCTTGTGAAAAGCTATTAACTAATAATTAATTAAAACATATACTCATTTAATTGTATTTGAAGTCAGGTTCAAACGCTACATTTAAATCGCAATAAATCGTGAAGTGTTTGTCATTCAACTCAAGTGGTAAGAATTAAATTAATTTCCGCATAATCATTGTCAATGTTCGCATTTTCATTTTTGTTTAAAAAAAGAGCAATTGTTTATTTGGTAAAACAAATGCATGACGCATACACTTTCATAAACATGAAACACAAAAACTGTCGCCATTGCTTGTTGATTCTTTTATTTGTCTTGTGCGTTCCAGCAGCATCTCTGCTATTCTATTCCGCTTAATGCATTTTTTTATCTGTTTTCCCCTTTGGCGTCTTTGCTTATTGCGTTGCCAACATTTCTTGTTGCTGCTGCTGCTGCTGCTTTTGCGCATTTTGTTTTCAGCTGTTGCTTCACTATTTGCTGTGGCCTATTTTTCTGTCTATCTTATCAATAGGGTTCTTTCTTTTTTTCTATACTCTATTTATTTATGGGTATATGTACATACATACAAATTTGTGTTTCCTAATTCACCTGGTGTGCTGTTTGCAAAACCAGTTTAAGCCCTCAACCTTGTCACAATTTATATGTGTGCCTATTGCTATAACAAAAAAAACTATGAAACGGACAAAAACAAAGAGTAGACGCAAAAAAATCGAATATTAAAAGAACAACAAACACGAAGGCGAATGGCCGATAAGATAACGGAGACTTTTTTCGAATTCGAAATGTAAGCAAAAACTAAACAACTGTTTATTCGCATTGTGTTGCACCGAGATTGGCAAAACTCTGTCATTTGTTTTTTTTTTTTTTTTAATTTTATCTGCTTTATAAGCATATCCGCCTACTCGGCATCTGGTTCGCTGTTCATGTTCATGGATCATGTTATCGATATAAAACGTTAATAGTGCAAATATTTTATTGCGCTGACTCTTTATTTCCTATTGCTGATATTTTTCTTACTTCTGATGAAATTCAGCCATACTTGTTTGTTAGTACAAGTCATGAAGATTGTTTTTTCGCTGTATGTGTATGGGCCAAATCTAGAGATGCGCTTTATTGCTATGTGAGAGTCACTGTTACGGCAATGATTGCTTTCAGTGATTTTGAATATATCGTTTGGCTTTAAAATTAATTTAATTAAAGTGTAATTTAAAAATGTCAAAAAATCAGATAGCATTTCGTAAATATTATAAAAGCATTATTTTACAATAAAATAGAAAACTTGGTCATTGAAAATAAAAGGTATAACATTGTTGACAATATTCTTAGAAAGTTGGATCTTTACGTAGATAATACTTAAAAAAAAAAGATTCTTTAATGTTGATGATGACGGAACATAAAATTGCAGCTTATAAACATTTTAAAGAAATGGAATGATGTATATACGATCGCAGTGACTAAGTCACAGCTCTGCACTTATTGCTCATCTCCAGGCAAGTACATGTGTAAAAAGCTCATCACGTGACAAGCAGACGTTAATGTTAAAACCAAAAGTTCAGAAAAGTTCCAAAATATTCATTTTATTTTTATTTTTATTTCAGCTAAAATGCGCACTATTTACGCTCTATTGGCCCTGGTGGCTGTGGCTCAGGCCGTTTCGTTTGCCGATGTTATCAAAGAGGAGTGGCACACCTTCAAGGTAAGTAATGCAAGAGGGGGTCAATTTAAGGCTTTAAGTACAAGGGAAATAGCGGAAGCTCGAATTCAAAGAGGAAAGAAAAAAGCTGGCTGGCATTTTAGAAGCCACTTGTTTTACAGGTTGCATGATTAATGCCTTTGTTGACTTAGGATGCATTTTTGACCGTTGAGTCATGTGCTATGAATAATTGTTCCTATTATTGCCGTTCTTGTTGTTGTGGCAAGCAATGTTGCAGCCAAGCTGATTAAAAGCCTGTCACATGCCGGCTCACATGACAGACTCAATGTAGCTGAACTGTCACATGAGATGCCGACATCAATCCCTTTATCAGAGGCCGGATTTGCTGTACCGTTAGTCCGCCCAGCGATTGATAAGCGTGCGTTCCAGCTTGTGCCTGGCATCGATCGATGATAAGCTACATGCATACAAATTCTAAAACACAATCAACTCTAAACAATTGACATTATGTGCCCAATGCTGACTCATTCATACTTGTTTACATTCACATATATATTTGTCTTGCATTCTTAGTTGTTAATTATTAATTATTTTCAATTTGCTGGCTCTTTGTGCTTGCCCTGGGCTAGTTTTACGTCGTAGAGCGCTTTGAACTCGCTGTTAATCAGCTTATCAGTTCTTGCAATAAATATGTGCTAGTCTTATCAGCTATGAAGCACTTCGAAAGGTTTTCAGCGTTGTCTAGACTTGAACCCTCTGGATTACAGTTGCAAATAATATATTAAGAGTTCAATTTAGAAAGAGACAAATCAAATCTTGTTTATTAATACAAAGGGCCATTCCCCAGAAGACGCTGATGACGTCTTCACAATCAACCCAAAACTTTTATTATCACTAAGTTGTTTTTAAAAAATTCCATTTTGACATGCTTGACAGCAATTCAAATTGATATATTTGCGAAAATTAACACATTTTCTGACCTCTTAGTCAAGCTTGATAATTTAAATCTCTTATATTATTATTGTAAAACTATTCTTAACGAATAATTTTGTTATTACTTTTTAAGTTTTGACTTCGTAAGTTTTTGAATTGAATCGGTTCAATTTTTTAAGAAATGTATTATATTCAATTCAAAATTATGATAATTTTATCAACTTTTGCTTTATAGCACGTTTCAAAAGTGTTGCCTACTTTGGAGCGCCAGTAACAATTTCTGTTTTGTTGACTTGATTTATCTAATAAATTCAATCTGTTTCTTGGCTTATGACATTTTTCACGTATACCTCTCCTTGTTAAAGTAACAGTTTTTTTTAAATTAAAAGGCTATTTTATTTGAAACAGTGAATAAATTCGCCATTCGAGTCTTGTAGCCCGCTACTGCAGGCCGGTTGGTTGCTGATAACACGCGAAAAACGTTGCCTACTTTTGCGCGGCGCATACTTTTCTAGTGCTGTATAACGCGAAAGGTCGCATATCAATTTAATTTTCATACCGTACGATGTTTCCGATTAGCATTCTGCATAAGTGATACACTTTGCTATCATCCGTTAATGCTCTGTGCCGTGGCATGTAAATATTGTACGTAAGCTAATTGTGCTTCTGATTTTTCACATTTCAATCGAGAAGTGGGCCGCAAAAACAAATACTACCCAGGCAGCGACGATCTTTGAACCGAAAGTGTTGCGATAAGCGTGTGAATGCGGCCCCCCAAACAGTCGAATGTTTTTTCCTTTTCTTTCATTTTTTTTCATTCAGTTGACATCTCAATTTATGCGCATAAAACAACAATAACAATAGGAACAACAATATAAAGTTAAAGCGCGTCAGAGCTTCGTGAAATGGCGTGTGACTAGCTTGACAAGCTTATCTCTTGGTTTAATGTTTGTTTTAGCTAAGCTGTGCGACGAAACGCGTTGTTGTTTGTACAAACTGCCAGAAAATGGAGAGCAAAGTAGAATTCGCAAATGGGCGATTATTATTGTAAGCGTGAGTGTGTATGTGAATGTGTGCCTGTGAGTTAACAGTTTAGTTTACATACATAAATGTTTGCATATCCTATTAAATTGGCAGTCTTATACGAATCAAACCGGTTCGTTCATGTGAAACGGTTTTAATATCTGCATGCACATACACCCATACAGAAATACATCAGCTGCTTGTATGTACAAAAACACAAATAGCATTTCATATAGATACGTATGGATGTACACGTAACACGTACATATACATACGGTTGTTTGTGTATGTGGCTTATTTTTGGATCTATGCATGTGAGTGTGTATGAACGTTTCGTACTAAAACAGGCATACGGACATTTCTTGATATTACCCGCCCGACGCTCACAGTAAGCAGACGCAGCACTCGCTGAGCGAGCGCTAGAGCGCAAAACAAATATAGAGAGCGAGAGAGAGGGTAAACGCGCGCGCGCCTAAATCAAAAGTAGAGCGAACGAGACGGAGATTTTTTATAGAGAGAGAAATATACGTTAAGACATTAAAGGAAAGCACGCGCGTCATTCACAAAAACGTGCTAATGCAAACACAACTAAAAACTACGGATATTATAAAATTATATAAAACACGTAAAATAAGTTATGGCCAGCTCCGCCAGTGATTTACATATTGTTGTGGACGTAGTCGTGCCCGTGTTGTTCATAGTTGCATTATGTGTGATCAACTGTTTTGTGCTGCGAATTATAATGCGTAAACGTAAAGAGTATCAATACTTAACAGAACGCAACGCACATGCAGTAGAAGCAGCGGCGGCCGCACCATCCACTGATGGGCCGACAACCTCAGCGGCGTGCAGCCAAGGCGGCTGTCCAATCGAAATGGAGCGACTTTAGCGGCCAAACTCCATCAGCCAGTGTTGCCTTAGCATATAATAAATAATACTAATTTTAGTACAAAAGTAGATTTAGACACTTATCAACTGTGTATTTACAGATAATATCAATGACAAATGGAGAAAAGAAAAAACTGTGTGCAGTTATCTATCATGATTATATATATGTATATTTAGGCATGTGCATTTAATTACTGTTCCTACGTTTATTTTTCTATTCACTTTTTACGAGGTCGTCAAGTCTTTTTTAATGTGTAAATTTGTTTAATAAAAAAATGGAAAAAGAAAAACAAAATTAGCTGTTTGGTTTTGCAAGTGCGAAAAATCAATAGGCGGGTTAACGATTCCTCCTGCCCTCCTCTGTTGTAAGTTCTCAGAACAGCAAATTTCTCGCAATTACATCAACAATATGCAAGTAGAGAAGAAAAGCGAACAGCGTATGCCTGGGCGCTTATCGCAGCCAGTCATCCAGCAACAAAAATAAACATTATTAACAGAGTCACCATTAACATCATCATCATCATCATGCTGGCCATCCGGTCAGGGCGTCAATTGCTCCCATGTCAGCTATAATTATGCCATATATGTATGTGGGTTGTGCGGCCTGTTTGACCAGTTTGTTTGACTGCATTTAGTGAATTTTTACTGTGTATCAATTTATTGTGCGTTGTTCTGTCGATACCCTATGAGTTGGACAACGAAGGGCATATGAGATTTGACTCAGCATGAGCAGTTGAGCAGAAAAGCCCTCTTTCACTATCACTATATCGAGGAGTGGTAAAAGAGCGTTTATCATCATTTGAGCATCTATGTGAGTTCTCTTATATTATATTATAGCTTAACATTAACATTAGATATCGTTAAGTATCGATAGACATTTGAAGTGAATACTAAATGGACTTTCACGCTTCTTTATTGCTCTCTCCCCATATGTGTATATGGTGAATTAACTACTGGGGGTATAACTATAGGTATTTTGCTTTGTTTAGCTATAAGTCTTGGTCTAAAATACCGCATACACAGGATACAATTCAGGGCGTTATACAGGATACCGCATACTACCAGGTGTTTTGTAGTCTATTTCGTATACTCAAAGATCCGCTTTTTTTTTTGGTTTCTTTTTCTATTCACTTTTTTTCATAACTAGGCTGTTAACATTTTTATGGTTACTTTTATGGCCGTTAGCGAGTTTTATTGGTCTCAGCTACTGGGCTTCGTGTCACCTTGTGTCTGGGCGGCGATAAGACAGCTGTTAGAGGCTTATCTCATATAATGCCTTAAGAATTATAAATCTTAAATCGAATCTGTGAAACCAAGTAAGAATCTGAATCAGAATCAGTGTGAACTTCGGTGCTTTGCTTCGGCAAACCTGAACTTCGACTCGCTGTCAGGGCATGTGCATTCGAGTGTGTTTGCAGCTATCTAATCGCTGGCCGTGTGGAGAATAGGTACAAAGCTAATAACAAGTCCTGATAACAGTTCCCTGATAAGCATTATTATACTTATATATGTGTGTCTACACTCTCTCTACTTGCAGCTAGAGCACCGTAAGAATTATCAAGATGAGACCGAGGAACGCTTCCGCCTAAAGATCTTCAATGAAAACAAGCACAAGATTGCGAAGCACAATCAACGCTATGCCGCCGGCGAGGTTACCTTTAAGATGGCCGTTAACAAATATGCAGATATGCTGCATCACGAGTTCCATGAAACGATGAACGGATTCAATTATACGCTGCACAAGCAGCTGCGGTAAGTAGGGGAGTATTCGTTAATCGAATTAGATTATATATTATCCGTCAATCCCCATATAGCGCTTCGGATTCGAGCCTTAAGGGCGTCACGTTCATCTCGCCGGCGCATGTGAAGCTGCCAAAGTCTGTGGACTGGCGCGATAAGGGAGCCGTCACCGAAGTTAAGGATCAGGGACATTGTGGCAGCTGTTGGGCGTTCTCCAGCACCGGCGCTCTAGAGGGTCAGCATTTCCGTAAGACAGGCACTTTGGTCTCGCTTTCCGAGCAGAACCTGGTCGATTGCTCTACCAAGTATGGCAACAATGGCTGCAATGGTGGCTTGATGGACAACGCCTTCCGTTATATCAAGGATAATGGTGGTATTGATACCGAGAAATCGTATCCATATGAGGGCATCGATGATTCCTGTCATTTCAATAAGGCTAGCATTGGTGCTACAGATCGCGGTTTCGTTGACATTCCTCAGGGCAATGAGCAAAAGATGTCTGAGGCTGTGGCCACTATTGGACCCGTCTCAGTTGCCATTGATGCATCGCACGAATCATTCCAGTTCTATTCTGAGGGCGTCTACAATGAACCCCAATGTGATCCTCAGAATCTCGATCACGGTGTCCTTGTAGTAGGATTTGGCACCGATGAGAGTGGCACAGATTACTGGTTAGTCAAGAACTCGTGGGGCACCACTTGGGGAGACAAGGGTTTCATCAAGATGGCCCGCAATGCAGACAATCAGTGTGGCATTGCCTCTGCTTCCAGCTATCCACTGGTTTAAATAATACATATATGAATATATTTGCGATATATGTGTTTGCATCGACGCTCAACCTCATTAATTTAATCACAACCAAAACCCTTTTATATTCCAATGCGAGCATCTCAAACGTAAACTTTTATAATTTAATGGGCATATTTACCAATCTGTAAAAACTATCATCAATGTCTTTTATGATTTGCCACTCAAATGTTGATACAAATTAGGCATATTACAATGTTGATCTTTTGTATGAATAAAAAACGTATTTTATAAAATAAAATATGAATGTGTCTTATTATAATAGACAAAAGACATTAAACTGGTTAACAGACAGTTGTTAAGCTATTTAGTTTAGACTTTTTACCAGCGACAATTTTTTTTGTGTTTGTATGTAGTCATGATTGAATTAAAAAAATCAGCTGATGGATACGTATATGCGTGTAGCCCTGGTGCGCTCGATTGTTCTGTTAATTAATCGATATTTGTTTTGCACGTACTGGTATCGATAACAAGCAGCTGTTGTTTTATAATACATGCAATGCAATATTTTGCTAGTTAATAAATATATAAAGCCTGAAAGAATGTTATTAACGCTGCGTGTGCCAGGCTCCCGCCTATGTTTGGGTCAACAGCGACGTCGCTTGTTAGCTAGCAGTGTCGCCGAGGAGGCCAAGAAACAGTCAACACAACACCCGTTGCAATTGGAAATCAAGGGACACTCATACCCCACAGACAGCTGGACGAATGTGACTCCGAAAATACTATCATATCTAGGCTTAAATAAACATCTTCAGCGAGACCATCCATTGTCGATAATGCGCCAACGCATTGTCAACTATTTTTATGGCGCCTATCGCAATCAGCGTGGAAATCCTCTATTTTCCGTATATGACCAGCTCAGTCCTGTGGTCACGGTGCAGCAGAACTTTGACAATCTACTTATACCCAGCGATCATGTGAGTCGTCAGAAATCGGATTGCTATTATGTGAATCGGGAACATTTGTTGCGTGCCCATACGACAGCTCATCAGGTGGAACTGATTTCGGGTGGATTGGATAACTTTTTGGTTGTCGGTGAGGTGTATAGACGGGATGAGATCGATAGCACACATTATCCGGTCTTCCATCAAGCGGATGCAGTGCGTCTGGTCACTAAGGATAAGCTGTTCGAACGTAATCCTGGTCTGGAGCTATTCGAGGAAACGTGGAGTGGTTCGTTAGCAGATCCGAAACGCATTTTACCCTCGTCCAAGTGCATGGATCAAACAAAACAGCCATGTCACACTCTAGAGGCTGTCAAACTGATGGAGCACGAAATGAAGCACGTCCTGGTAGGTCTTACCAAGGATCTTTTTGGCCCCCGCATCAAATATCGCTGGGTGGATACTTATTTTCCATTCACTCAACCCTCATGGGAACTGGAGATATTTTTCAAGGACAACTGGCTGGAGGTCCTCGGTTGTGGTATCATGCGCCACGAGATTCTGCAAAAGGCGGGCGTGCACCAATCGATTGGCTATGCGTTTGGCGTAGGTCTGGAGCGCCTCGCTATGATTCTATTCGATATACCAGACATACGGTTGTTTTGGTCGAATGATAGCGGCTTCTTATCACAATTTAGTGAACAGGATCTACAAAATCTGCCAAAATACAAAGCTATCTCACATTATCCGCAATGCTCAAACGATTTATCCTTTTGGCTGCCAACCAATGTGGAAATCGACGCTGGATTTTCAGCCAACGATTTTTATGATTTGGTGCGCACTATAGCTGGGGATGTGGTAGAGCAGGTGGGAATCTTACCTTACAAATGTTGTACATAATTTAAGCTGTATTTCTGTACTTTTAGATAAGTTTGGTGGACAAATTCAAGCATCCAAAGACAGGAAAATCGAGCCTTTGCTTTCGCATTGTTTATCGTCATATGGAGCGCACCTTAACTCAGGCTGAAGTAAATGAAATACATAAACACATAGCCGATGCCAGTGTGGAGACTTTTAATGTGCAAATACGCTAGTCATAGTTAAATAAAATTGTTTTTAAAGTAAAAAAAGTAAAAAAAAATGAATTGAATTTTTTTTTTCAAAAAGTAAAGTCATCGATGCTTTGTGTGTAAAATCGATACACGATATACGATATTCGAGCGCTTTACGACACTGTTTTAAGGTTTTACGTGCAAGCCGTAGAGTGCGGCGTTGTTGAAGTATATACGTCTACATTAATCTTATGAAATTCAGGTGAAAATGTCCATTTTGGAAGCAGACGATGTGCTGTACAGCATTTTGGCATTAGTCATCATTGAAAATTCTCTAGAAATCTATATAGCGTATCGCCAGGTAAGTTAATAAAAATTTAAATGCCGGCACGTGCCAACGTACAAGGCGGCAATTAATGTTTGCCTATGTATTTTACAATGCGTACAATCTATGTGTATATTTAGCACGTTAAATGCCAGCCGAGTTCGTTGATTTGCCAGACAAATTGTAAATATTAGATTAATCGCATTTTCCGTCCTCACAGGTTAAAGTCTACCGTAGTGCTTTGGATGTGCCCAATGAGCTTAAGGCTCACATGAGCTCGGAGACGTTCCATAAGGCGCGCAAGTATGGCTTAGATGGGGAGAACTTTGGCATCTTTAAGGCCTTGTTAATGGACGTGCTACTTCTTTGTTTGGAACTATATATTGGACTTATTGCATTGCTTTGGCAGATGTCGGTAGATGTAGTCGAACGCCTGGAATGGGATTCGAGCAATGAGATTATTGTCAGCCTCGTATTTGTGCTTATTTCGAATGTGTTGTCCACATTCAAATCGTTGCCATTTAAGATCTACAAGATCTTCGTGCTGGAGGAAAAGCATGGCTTTAATAAGCAAACGGCTGGTTTCTTTGCATGGGATCAGGTCAAGGGCTTCCTGGTTACCCAGATAGTGATGCTGCCCATTACAGCGGCAATCATCTTTATTGTGCAGCGCGGCGGCGACAATTTCTTCATCTGGCTGTGGATATTTGCTGGCGTAATCTCCCTGGTGCTACTCACCCTCTATCCGATCTTCATTGCGCCGCTCTTCGACAAGTACACACCCCTGGAGCAGGGCCCATTGCGTCAGTCAATTGAGTCTTTGGCTGCTTCACTCAAGTTCCCATTGACTAAGCTGTATGTTGTGGAAGGATCAAAACGCTCTTCACACAGTAATGCTTACTTCTATGGACTGTGGAATTCGAAGCGTATTGTGCTGTTCGATACACTGTTATTAAACAAAGGCAAACCGGATGATTCAGATCTGAGCGACGATGAGAAAGGCAAGGGCTGCACGGACGAGGAGGTGTTGGCTGTACTTGGTCATGAGCTGGGCCATTGGAAGCTGGGTCATGTGACCAAGAACATTGTCATTATGGAAGTCCATCTTTTCCTCATGTTTCTTGTCTTCGGCTATTTGTTTAAGTATGCTCCATTCTATGAGGCATTGGGCTTTGAACCAGGCACGCGACCCATACTCGTTGGTCTGTTGATTGTCTTCACGTATGTGATGGCACCTTACAATGCCATCATCAACTTTGCCATGACATTATTATCCCGTCGTTTTGAATATCAAGCGGATGAATTTGCCCATAACCTGGGTTTTGAGAAACAATTAAGCCGAGCATTGATCAAACTCAATTTGGATAATTTGGGCTTCCCCATCTTTGACTGGCTATACTCCACCTGGAATCATTCGCATCCAACACTGTTGCAGCGCTTGGCGCGTCTCAAGCAATTGGGACAGCCGGAGAAGAAGACGCAGTAAACTATGGGATGGGCCTTTTAGCCCTGCATGCAATCGCAAGTGTGAAGACCAAAGTATTTAGCTTCTCTCTCTGCCTATCTCTCGCTGCTGTAAACCTTATCCGTATCGTAGTAGTCCCTCTCCTTTTTAGTTGTATATTGTATAGATTTCAATAAAGCATGCCGACTTGACCGAAAAAAAAAAATATAAATAAAGTAAGGAACAAATTTAAAAATGTTTATATCACATGTATTTGGCTAAAATGTCAGATTCCATTAACAAACAATGAGTGCCCAGCTGTGGAATGACCCCGCTATAATACTACTTTTCCTATTGATCATTCTCCTGGTGGATAATCTGTGGAGTCTCTACCTGCTCTTGCGCGAGGTAAACAACTGAATGCTATCGACTCCATGTTTTATTTCAAATGTTTATTGCAGATTAAACTGATTTACAGATCTAAATATGTACCGGAGGTGTTGCGTCCGTACTTATCACAAGATCTGTTCGAAAGAATGCGTAGCTATAAGCTGCACAAAAGCTGGTTCATCATAGTCAATACACTCATTGTGGTCGTTATTTGTGGCTGCCTTGAATTGTATTTTGGTTTCTATGCGCTGCTTTGGAAATTAGTTGACCGCTGTGCCATCTGGCCGTGGATGGAGCACGAGATCTGGATGTCTATCATCTATGTGCTCTTTTTAAGCATTTATATATTAGTTAAGTCGCTGCCGGGTAAAATCTATGAGAAATGCTGCATCATCAAGCTGGTGAAGCAACCCAAACGAAGATGGTCGGAATGCATTGCCTTTGAGGTGCTGGACATCACCTGTTCGCTGCTGATCATGGCCGCAGTGGTTGCTGTGGTGGTATCGATGGTGCGTGCCTTTCATGAGCTAGCCTTCATAGGAATTTATCTGATGGCCGTGCTGCTGACCGCGTTGGTAATTTTTATAGTGCCTTGTGTCATTGATCCTTTCCTTGGCAAACGTGTGCAGCTCGAGAATCAGGCGTTAAGACTGGGTCTTACCGAACTCACCCATCGCGTAGGCTTCCCCATGCAGTATGTGTATATTATACGAGTCCGTGACCAAAGCGTGGGCAGCAACGCCTTTTTCTTTGGCAGCTGCTGTCTGAAACGGATCGTGATCTTCGATACGTTATTGCTGAATCGTGGAATGGCCAACGCTGCTCAGCTGCCGGAGGAGGAGCAAGGCAAGGGCTTACCCAATGAACATGTCTTGGCTGTGGTCGCTCACGAACTGGGCCACTGGAAGAAGGGGCATTTCTACAAGGCCATCGTCATGTTTCAGCTACACTTACTGATAACGCTCCTACTGTTTGTCATCTGCTTTGCGCATGGACCCATTTATCAGGCGGTTGGCTTTGAAGAGGGCGTCGAGCCGGTTATAGCGGGATTTATAATAATCTTTGGCTTTGTGCTGACGCCCTATTTAACCATCTCCAATGTTATAATGCTAACAATGACGCGTCAATTTGAATATGAGGCAGATAAGTTTGCATTCCAGCTGGGCTATGCAGCGCATCTGCGCATGGCACTTCTCAAGCTCTATGCGGATAATCTTACATTCCCTTTATCGGATCCCTGCTATTCCAGTTGGAATCATACGCATCCCATGATGTTGCATCGCCTGCAGCGCTTAGAGAGCCTCGAAATTTATAGAATGTAAAAAAATTAGAAAAAAAAACAAAGCTAGCTACGAATACATATGTATATTTAAATCCAACTGCCATTTTCGAATCTATAATGAAATATATATTTATTTATATATGGTGATTGTTGATTATATTATTTATATTCTATTGTTTATATTGGTTGGTAACATGATCTTATCCTGAGCGATGGTATCCTACGACACTTGGCCGAAGATAGATCCGCGAATACTACTCTATCTGATGATGGTGGTGTTGTTCCTTGACCATGTGTGGGAAATAATATTGGCCAAACGACAGGTGAGCGAGTCAAGGAGGTGCTAATGATGATAGTCTATCTAGCAATCATTCACTTTAAACATGTTTTCGTCCAGTAGCAACTGACCTGCCTGAATGCCGTTATGGTACCGGAAGAGCTACGAGATATTATACCGCCGGAGATCTTTCATCGCGCCCGCGTCTATGAATTACACAAAATGGAGCTCTTTATATGGAAACATATCATCGATTTGATCGCTAGCCTCTTAGAATTATATTTTGGCTTTTACCCATTTGTTTGGGGCTTGGCCACTATCACTTTGGCGCCCTTAACATCCAAAGAGCTATGGATTAGCCTGATCTTTGTATTATATCTAACTATATATATATCGCTACGCTGTCTGCCTATCCTAATCTACGATAAGTGTATATTGGAGCTGAGATATGGAACGCACCGACGGTTTCCCAGCTATATGTATTTGCTCATTGGCCTACTGTGCATCATCCTCGCACAGATAGTCCTGGCGCCGCTCACCTTATTGATTATAGTCTGTGTCCAGGTCTTGGGATTCTTTTTCTTTTTATATTTCTGGCTGTTGTGGGCCGTTTTCACCTTGCTCCTAGTTTTCTTTTTGCCCTATCTATGTGCCCCCTGCATTGGTGCTCAACGTCGATTGCCGTCTGGGAGCGCTCTGTATACGGATATAAAGGTCGTTTGTGATCAGACCGGATTCCCCATGGATCGTGTCTTTATCATTCAGACCAAATCCATGCAGTACAGCAATGCCTACTTCTATGGCAGCTGCTGCCTGAAACGCATTGTCGTCTTCGATACGTTACTCTTGAATAAGGGTCTGCCGGCCAGTCAACTGCAACCGTTTGAGGTGGGACGTGGCCTGACCAATCAACAGGTGGTAGCTGTTGTTGCACACGAGTTGGGTCACTGGAAGAATGGACATTTCTACAAGGCCACGTTTATAATGAAGCTGCATTTCTTTCTAACCATGGTCTTTTTTGGCCTACTCTTCCACTGCCCTTATCTGTACGAAGCCGTCGGGTTTAAACCGGGTCTCTGGCCAATTATTGTCGGCTTTTTGATCGTACTGCGCTTTGCGCTCACACCATATCTGACGTTGGCCAATATCCTAATGCTGTGGAATCTACGACGCTTCGAATATGCCGCAGATCGTTTTGCACATCGTCTCGGGTACTCCCTGCTGCTGCGTTCAGCGCTCACGAAAATCTATGCGGATCACATGAGCTTTCCGGTCTACGATGACTGCTATGCCCGCTGGCATCATACGCATCCAACCATATTGCAGCGATTGGCTTATCAGCGAAAACTGGACCAGGATGCCTACTATGCCAGCTAAATGATCCGTCTCATCTAAATTTATCTAAATTTGTAGTCGATGCGATTTTTATGTCTTCGTTTTATGCTTCTAGTAGTCTGTGAGCTCAATTTCAAGTTAATCTAAATGTTTTCTGTGACCTTTTCCATTTTTTAAAAATTATCTGGTTCCTCAGTATACTTGTAAATTCCAATTCAACGGTCATGTCTTTTGGGTGCATTACCAAATTGAATGTTAACATTGACAAGTGGTATGTGAATTCTGATTTTAACTCTGTTTCTGACTCTGATCTTGATATTCGAATTGCAGTAATGCTTTTGCCTTATCCACAGTCAAACGCACATCACGTATGCCAACAATTCAACTCGTCTATTGCTGAGCAATCCGTCCGGTTTCGTTTTCCGCAGCATGGGCACTACTACATGTCGCTGTTGCAAAGATTGCGCCAATCAGGGCATTGGCTTCCTTAAACGCCATTTTGGACGAGGCGGAAGCATTCAGAAAACGCGTTCCCTATGCGATATGCTTTCAGCTGTCGGACTTCATAACTATGCGCATAACGAAGTACACAACTCAGAGCACAAAGACTCGGCGGCTCAGATGACAGATGAAGAACATCAAGAGAGTGATCAGTATGTGACAAAGCTCTTCACCTGGCATCTGGAGCACATGCCCGTCGTTACACCGCGGCGTGCTACCAAAATTGTTAGGCGCAAGGAGCGAATGCAAGTGTCTTGTCTTGCTTGGCATCTAAACAGCTGCAAGTGGGCAAATTATTATGGCAAGGAGTATGAGATGCCGAAATGGTTGGTATGCCTACACAGATGGTCAAATTCAGTTCAATGTTTTATATACTTTGGGTATTATTTGCCCAGTAGTCAAATAGTATACCTCTTTGGAAGCTCTAATCTCACCACGCAAACAAATATTAAAAACGTAGAAAATATTTCTTCGATTCCACATCAAGTGTATTTTGCCCTACTACTGAAAGATATATTATGCTTGACTATCTAGACAATTCAGATAGTCCTCAATTTTCCTGACTGTAACTGTAGTATCACCCATCCGGGTTTCTAATGAGATACACTCTTTAATTTTGGTTATCGACTTGCATTAAGCAGTTTGCCATGGCTCAACCAATCCACCATGGCTCGGCAATCACATAGTTCATTTATTAATCCTCTATCAAGGGGTAACAAGTTTCATTCATATACAAATCAATGCGACTATTAGCTATAAATGCTTTTTACAGTCTATGAAAATGTTTACAACAGGCAGAAGTTGCCGTGGCAAGCCCTGTAAAGTATATAAATTTATATAATTTAAGAGAAACGTAGAATGATTGAAATTGCTGCACAGTGTATTCCCTAGTCGGTTACTGCCGACTTGAGCACCCTTACTTATTGTAGCTATTCTTTTGGCTTAGCCCATGCTCATATCAGTCAATCAATAAGACAATTCTAAGCTAATACTAGTCTGCATTGCTCTGTTAAGCTCAACGACTAAACTCATTTTTTATCATACAAAAAGCCGCTGCTCTACTATCAAGGACACCCTGGACTATATAAATGAAGTACTTAACGGCGCGATGCTCACTCCGGAGCAGCAGGAGTCTGCATTGAATTCTAGTGGCGAACTGATGCCCGATATGAATGCGAATATTGTTGGCATTAACGTGTTATTGCAGAAGCTAAACGAATTGCTGGAGGAGCAGAATCAGGAGCAAGGCAATGTGCAGATGCAAAGCACTTAAGACGCTAACACAATAGTAGTAGTAGTATAAACCAATATGTTGCTGTGTTTTTGAGATTGTAATCTATCGATAGTTTATTAAAACACCATTTTTCATATCATAGAATTTTTGCTTGACATATATGTATGTATGTAGTATCTATATAGATATAGATTTATGTATATATATATATATATTAGATATATATATTTATAGTTAGTTGTAGTTTATAGTTATAGTTAATAATGTATTTTGGTATAGTGTTATCGTGGAGAAGGTCCTCTCTGAAGCTGTTTTTGTATGTGTATCATCTGATAATCCATCTTAAATATTAGCATAAGTAAGATATATAATATATAAGTATATACGATATTTGTTTTTTGTTACTTGGCATTTTGTTGCATCGCACAGTTCTCTATAACATATATATATATATATATATATATATTTTATACTGTTTTTATTTTTGGAGTTTTCTTTTATAGATTTACATACGAAATTTTTCTGCCTTTTTTCTTTAAAAGCTTAGATAAAGTTTTACTGAGAAATGTCGGGGTTTTTTGGCTATATTTGTGTAGGGCAAATCAAAATTCAGAATCGAATAAATTGTTTTATACCAATAGTTGGCTTCAAGTATTTATAATAGAGATAGCACCTTGAGAAGTTTAAAACAATGTAAAGCAGATTTTGAACATTTTCTGTTCTTGAATTTAGGCATATATATTTTAAGCACATTTAGATCATAAAATTTTCGACATTGGACAAGGTAAAAGTTCGTAGATTCTTCTATTTTTATATTTATTTGTTCTGAATTTGTGTGTGCTTAGTTCCCTTTTCGAACCCGCCTCTGCATAATCCGTGCAGCACTTGGACAAGCACGAGCACAAGTATGACATGTGTTCAAGGAGGGCCATGCGGGGCGCAGGAGTAGGTTGGGCTGTGAAGAGGACGCCTGCCAACTGTAAGTGGGTTTTAGTTCTCTCTTCATTTCGGTTTACCCTCGTTTTTTCATTCTTTTTACCTGCCTCTGGACCGTGCTCGAGTGCCAATTGGCAGCTGTTTGTCGAGTGCTTTGATTGATGCTGGCTTGGCCTCTACTTTGGTAAAACTTATACACTAAAAACTTTGTGGAACATACAGATATATTTATCGTTAGCTGGCATTTCTTTGTGTGCCGTCTTGTCAAAAAATTAAGGTAAATTTTCAAAAAAAAATAAAATAAGCAGAAAAATCGCACGCATCAAAATATATATATATATATATATATATGTGTATATTCATAATACAGTACATTTATATATATATATATATTAATATATATATAGTTATTATAAGTACACACAATTATTAACAACAATTATCTAAAAAATTCGCACTACATAATAATTTATAATAATATAAATTTCACATTTAATTTTTTTTTTGTAATAATTTGTTGAGTGTTTGCTCTTACGCTTAGCTAAGTTTTAATTAAGTCAAAATAAAATTACTTTGCTTTTAGTTAAATATATAAATAAATATGCAATATATAGGAAATAGAAAATATAAATATTACGAGTACTCTGGCTACTCGAAAATATTATTTTTAAAATCGATGTACTGAACGTTTTTATTAAATATTTTTTTTTTTTGTATTTTTCTGGCTGGTTTCGAGTTGCTTGTTCAAAAAGTAATTTTTTGTTTAATGTATTATTTGGTATTTTCGTTTGGATTTGCTTTAAAATTTCCTTAATATGTTTTGCTTTACGAATACACATACATAATAATTTTGTTTGCCTTTTATTTTGGAGCTCTTGTGTTTGGGGAATAGACTTTCGAAAGCTTAACATGCATAAACATTTAATTAATTTGAAACATTTAGTTTGAATTAGCTTTTATATTTATTTATTTGTTTTGCGTTGTTTTTTTTATTTGTAGTTTAGCGCTTTATCAATTTTTTTTCTCAAGTTTTTTTTTATAATTTGCATTTGTGAGGTTTTGTCCTCGAGCTGCGCCTAGTTTGCGGGCAGTTTTATAAAGTAATCAAATTTTTGTTTGGCTTGCGGCCAAAAAACACGCCCCATTTGCATTAGTTTACCCAAATTGGTAACAAAAATATATGTATATGTGTTGCATTAGACACTCGGCCCAATCTACTGCTCGTCGTCGGGCGAGATTTTGGCCAAAGTTAAAAGTATCATGGTTAGCTCCTTGCGCGAGATTTTGCCATGCTTATCACGACCGACGCCACGCATGATTGTCTCCTCGAAGGCAGCCAGATCCTGGGCATCATAATCGTCCTGTGACAAAGCACACAATAGATTGAATATATATACATGTGTCGAGTTATGAATGCTATCGATCTATAGGATTACCTTCTTGACCAGCTCGAGCAGATCCTTGAGAAAACCTTTCAGCTCCTCGTTCTCAATGGTGCCGCTGTTGTCCTGTTTTTTGTTTTTTTTTTTAATATAATTTATATTATAGTAATATAATATTGTATGCATATATATAAAAATTGCTAACTTACGCGATCGTATAGTGAAAATACTTTCTCAATATCCTCCTTGGTTAGCTTAGTGGCGCCCTGTTTTATAGGCAATTGAAAAGAAAGAGCATACGAAAGTCGCATTGAAATATCTGAGACGTCACATTCCATATCAGATGTATAAAAATATTTATAATACACACTGTAGTCTTTGCGGGATATTTGTTTTTCGATGTCAATTGGCATATGGTTTTTGGGCCTCTAGTCTACATGTGTGTGTGAGTGGGTGTGTGTATGTTGTGTCTTAGCTATGAGTGTGTGTGTGTGTGCTTATGTTATATTTATTTACAGTTCATGCAAAATCATTTATTCTCATGCTTTCAACTTTTTTTATTATGCAATCCATGCCAGGCCCGTGTTTGTCTATGGAAATTCAAACCACATTCACACACCCGCAAACAGGCATACACACTGACACACTCACACACATATGTGGCCTGCATGCAAATCAATTTTCATTTACATTTTAGCATTCATGTTTGCATTGACTCAATCTCTTCATTCATATTACAGCCAATTTGTGCACAATTATTTGCACATTCCGGCACAAAAAAAGAAAACCTGGAACAAAGCCCTGGGGGCAGTCACATGGAAAGAGCTCCAAAGACGCAGCTGCTTTAAAAATGTTTACGGTACTTTTTTATATTAAAACTAGGGATGGGCATTTGCTCGATATATCTCGTTGCTTTCATGAATCTTGCAATGGATTCTGCTTGATTGATGTGATCTATACAAAAGGCCCTCAAAAACTATATCATAATTTTATTTTTATTTTTTTCTATTTAAAATCAACTCTATTATTCCCTTTCATATATTTATTTATCATATTTTATTTCGACATTTACATTCCTTTTCGACTTGCTTTCACTTAGAAATTGCTCTGTGAAATTTTCTTTTACCGAAAAGACGTGAAAATTCCTATTTTTGTGGATCTCTAATGCATCACGCACACATCTCTAATGCCTTAGACAAACGTTTATATAGCCAGAGATTGCATGCTTATGCGTATTATAACGAATGACTTAATTAAGCTGTGTTCTATTTGTATTTGTACTCAACTTGCTCTTCTTGACTTCCACACTTCGACTTCCCTGTCTTGATTTCCCTCCCTTTCCCCTCCTACCTGAACATTTTGGCAATTCGGTTTATGCGCTTGACTTTAGGTAATTAATATGCATTAAGGTAAATTGCGAAATTTTCTGTGGCTTGCCATACCTTGTACCCACGGGACAACGACGAAAGCGGGCATATTAAATATGTGCACATTGCGAGAGGAGAGCATATCTCTTATTATTTGTAATTTGATATATATATATTCTCGTATGCCATATCATTTCTAATCCATAAATATGGTTTGGGCGCCAACTATATAAAAGCTAGACAGAAAAACTATAACATAAATATGTTGTTTTTTTAATTATTTCTTGTTCTTGTGGTCCACTCAACCTTTTCTGCAGGGTATCTTTAAGCTGCGCGACTCATATCTATTCTATTCTATTCGCTGTGTGGCTAAAGTAATGTAGCATACATTTCAGCGCTTACATTTGCAGTTTTCGCATGAGCAAAATGCTGTGTGTGTGTGTGTGAATGTGTTTTTATAGAGAAAGAGATGTATGGTATGCTACAAGCGCCAGTTAGATTTATTGATTCCACTTCCTGTCCAACACACACAGACAGAGGCACCATACATGCCTGCACCTTGTTTTTGGCTGCTTGTGGTTATGCAAGCAGCACATGCAGGTGCGGAAGAGATTGGCCAAGGTTGAAGGTTTTACACCTGGCAGCTAACGTGGAGCTTTCAACCAGTCAAGCTCAAAGTCGCTGCAGGTTTTACATGGCCCAAAACCAAAACGGGAACGGCTCAAATTTCGCTAGGCAACAATTTGTTGTATGTGTGTGTGTGCGTAAGTGTGTGTGGGGCAGTGTGTGCGCTTGTGGTTTCCCTAAGGACTGATAACATTTATTTTATTTGGACCTGTAAGCTGTTTTATAAACGACGCGTACGACATAACGCATTTTCTTCTTTTTCATATACCCTATAGTTAAACAAGAAGTGTATATTGGTTTGATCAAACTTCAATAGTCTAGAAAATAATTCTATATATAATATGAAATGGCTTTAATAAATCGTAACATTTTTCTGAAAGCTTTTTTATTTTTAAATATTCTAAATAACAGCTGAAATATATAAGACATCAGCTTGATAGTTTATTAACGAACTACAATTAAATCTTCATGAATTAATAAAAGAGCTATAAGTATTGAAGACCCTTTCCGAGAGAACAGAATATCAAGAAGATAAATCTCACAGCATAATAACCAGTCGAGCAGTTCTCACTAGAGCACACCTACTCTGGAATTGTGTGTGTGTAGGTTTTGGGGATTGGAAATCCATTAGGCGCCCGCTCTGGCAGCCATTTTATCGCATTGTTCTTCGCTTTGCCTGTGTGTGTGTTTGTGGATGTGTTTTAAAAAATACGAAAAAGAAAGATGGGCTTAATGTTGAGCCTTAGTGTTTAATTTGTGCGCCGACACTTTTACACACACCAAATTGTACGGAATTTATGCGGACGGGTGCCTAAAAGGACGCTTTGCATTTTGTCAGCGCTTGCCTCTGACAAATTGTGAAGCCTACAAAAGCCGTCACGTTCGCACAGCTCTGATAAAATGAAGTAATTATTTTATACTTCAACACTTTTGAAAACCGTTCCCAGTGCCGGAGTTGATGGCGGCGGATGTCTGCGGCTGCCATTATCCATATGGGCAGCACCGAAAGGCATCCAAGTATCACACACACACACACACACATACACGTTTACTGTCCTCTAAATTATGCAAAGGGTCACAGCTCAGGGTTGTATCTGGACCTTCATTAGATTTAAGCAGCGCACGTACATGCACTTATCACCCATCTCCAGCAAGGTGTGTGTGCGTGTATGTGTGTGTATCTAATTAGTATAGCACATAGTTCTCGTTTACTTATTGGATTGCTCGCAGCTTAAGCACCCATTGAGGTTAGCTTAAATATTTGCTAAGTTATGTTTGTCCCTATTTAACGGCCTGCTGCTTGACTCTTTAGTAAAGTTGTTAAGCCTGACACAATTCATACAAAATTGATCAAGCTGTTTAAATATATTTAGTTGATAATAGTAATTTATTAAACATACAAGAATAATTAGTTTATTAAATTTATTTTTGTCTTATTTCGAATATTGCTTTGCCATTTTCAGACTAGATTTCTTTTAGATTTATTCATTAAATGAAGGAAATTTAAATGTTGGCTAAGAAGTTGTTTAAACTTGTTAGACATTTTATTTACAATTTTTTATATATGGTTTTTCTATTTTTGAAAAGCAATTCAAGCTCTTTGACTTACAACTTTATACTTTAGAGCTAATCAAACAGTGGGCTTAGTTCTTTGAGCTATCAACCAGACCACAAGCATTTCAAAAAGACGTATGTAAATTCACATACACACACACACACATACACATATACGCACACCTTCTCACTTCCTTCATACACACTCTGTTGCACAGTTTATTTGCTAAACATGCCAAAAAGAAAAATAAAAAAAAACAAAGCTATTCAAGTAAAGCAAAGCAAACACACAGCAGACCAGCATGCACTTAAGAACTAAATGTATAAATGTATAGTATAGTCGTATTTATCTATGGATATAGATATATATAAAATTGTATCTATACAAAAGTAGTCTATGGAAATGCATAGTATAAGAATTTGAAAGGCAGTTAGTTTAGCTGACAAAAGATAAATCAGTCACAAAAACAGAATATGCAAAAGTCAATGAAAATTGTATTTGTTTTTGTGTTTTATATTGCTAAACAAAGCGAATTGAAATTCGAAATATTTTTCATATAAACTATAAGCTCGGGTCGCTCAAGTGGGAGACATTTAAATTGGAAATGTAAACTTCCTTTTGTTTATGGCTAAATAAATACGAGTAGAATGTAGTGTATTTTTTTGTGTTGAGTACTCTGGCAGACAACTTTATAAGATGATTTTTTGTGCTGTCATATCGTGAGAGGCTTTGAATGAATTATGTAGTATTAGCTCCTAGCAAGCAGAGTAACTAAAAGAAAGACGGCAACTGTTATATTTATTATTTTTTTTCTTTATGTTTCTGTCTGAGTTCCTTTGGGAAGCCTGAATTGAAAAGTATTGGCATAGACTATTGAATAGCTGAAATTATTAATATTTTAAGGCAAGAGTCGCAAAGAAGCACTATAGTATAAAAAAATACCACTTACATTTTGAATAAAAAAAATTGTAAGTCTGGAAAATTTCAAGAATTTTAACTATGTTAAGCCTTAAATTATAAATATAGATGCTTTAGTTATGTCTCCTCGTTGCATGTACATAATGTCAACTAAAAGTATATTGATGAAATACTCTATAAGATACAAAACATCCAGAGTTTATAAGTTACTTTTGGGCCAAGCCGAAGTGAATGTGGGAATGCCTTTTAGTCGTTACTAAACAAAACTAATATAAAATATGTGTTAATTATTTGAGCGGGTCTTGAAGGCAATATATACTTAAGGTTCAATATATATAGCGAACCTTAAGGCTAGAAACAAACTTGACTATATAAGAAGAAAACGTATTTAAGGATGAGAGGCTGGCTTGCATATGAACTAATCAAGCAACTCCATTTGCTAAATAAACTTCTGTGAATGTATAAAATGCAATAGATCCACATCTATCTAAGCTATCTGCAAGAGCATACATTGCTTGGCTTGGCCAAAGCCAATTTTTTCTTTATATGTTTACTGTTTTCTATTGTTGTTTGCTGTTTTGTTGCTGTATTTGTTTTTGTTTTGTATTCCATTTGGTTGGGTAACAACGTTTAGTTTTCGCTTTAGTTCGGCTTGGATGGTAAATACTTACATCGATGCCCTCCTGGAATACGAGTACATGTGTTTTTTGTTTAGTTGTTGTTGTAGTAGTTGTTGTTGTTGACAGTGCATATTGATTGTTGTAGTAGTTGATGTTGTTGTTGTAGTTGATGTCGATGTTTTATACAGCATTTATTTGTATTGTTAAATTGATTTTTATTTTTGATTTTGAATTTTTTATTGGTTTGCAGCAATTTTAAAGTCGAGTTTTAATCGATTAAGTTTTTATTGTTTTTTATTGGATTTTTTCGTATTGCGAAAAGTGGAAAAGTAACATTTGTGGCAGCCAAAATTTACATCACGTGCAGAGTATTTGAATATTTTTGAAGTTTTGATTGTCGTTTAAAGAGGTTTTGGTTGATTATAAAAATGTACAAGTGTTGATTGTTGTAGATATATATATTTATATATATATTTATATATAGAGTTGATAGGTAGAAGTATATGCATAGAGGTAATAGGTAAATATATAGATACAGTTGGTTGGTTTTTTATTTAGGTAGTTGCAGTAGTTGGTTTAGGCATAAATAGTTGCAATATAGAGAAGGTTAGGCGGGGAATGGAAAAAAGAAAGTCAGAAAAATAGTTGATAAAGTTTGGTTTTGTATATATAAATTAAAATTAGCTAGAAATATATGCGCACAAGAGCTAAATAATTGTATAAGAATTATAATTGAAATAACTTTATTTGGCTGCTGGTGCGCAAATTGTTTGTTTTGCAATTAGTTAAGTCTTAAAATGTTGGTTAGTAAACTAAGATACCAGCTAGAATGCAGTAAGCTAAAATTATATAAAATATTAAGTATACGTCTAGTTAATCATCAGGCAAGATCAATTCAAGTTAAAGCTATTTTTAGTTGCTGTTGTCTTATTTAATTTGCTGCTGCTTAAAAGTGCAAAGAGCTTCCAGAACTAAAGATAAATTTCTTTTCTTTTTTATTTCATTTTAACAAATACAAAAATAACTTAAAACTGTCTGTGCCGACCGAAAGGCCTGGCTGCTTTTTGCCTGCTGGCCACATCCTCACGTAAGCTGACTGCAGTTAATGGCACCGCAGAGAGCGTAAACAAAAATATGCACCTTAGTGCTGGGCCCAGAAAAGTTAAGTGAAAAGGCCAAGCCAAACCACCAAAATGGCCAGCAAAGGCCGTGATCCCTGCACCCACCCAACCAGCCACAACACAATTACAACGAATTTGAGCAGCCGCATTTGAACCGAAAGTTTATCCACAGCAGCGCGCGTTTCAAAGTTGCAGTGGCTGCTGAAGCCGCAGCAGCCGCAGTAGCTCTTGTGCATTATTTGCGACACACGCGTCGTATACGTGATGTGCATTAGCATAAGCCGTTCCGGCACATTGGCCCAGCGCCAAGCCTGCTGTTGCCTGCAAAACGGCACGTCAAGCGGCTGCCTTTAAACACTATGCAACAGCAATTTAGTTTTAATACCGCACAACCATAAAATGCTTAAATAGCATTACGTAAAGCTGTGAAAATTTATGTTAAAGGGCAAATTTCGTGGAATTTATACAAAATTAAATAGTTTGCAATTGAGCGTCGGGCGGGCTTGCTATATGCATGAGTCTGAGCTCTAAGCGCATGGAGTTCTATTAGCATTTGAATTATTTTGAACGATGTTCTGCAAAACCGCAGATTTGTTCACTTTATTTTGACAACCTACATATAAGCTTCATAAATAGTTTTCAAATTTCACATTAAACTTATATTACATATGCACATAGCCTGTGGAGGGCCGAAGCTTACAGAGTAAAATTTCACATAAAGAATTTTTACATATATGCAATGAATAATAAAAATATGACATAAGCTGAAAGTAAATATTGAATTAATTTGCAAACATTTAATGCATATTTTATTTATTTAACGCATTCATTTAAATAAAACATAAATTGAAACAGAGCAAGTTGAGCTTAGTTTTTGTGTTTGAAACTGAGCACAATATAGTAGTATAGGACTAGTTAAGATATCTGTATAGATATCTGTCTGTCAGCTGTGTTTTTAACTTGCCCAAGTTTTTTACTCTGTACCTCCTTATTATAAGAAAATGTTTTTTGAAATACTTTACAAGCGGTATATATGTTATTATATTTACAAACTTTATATATCTCAATTGCATAAAATTGTGTCACATGGCAGACAATGCACTCTGCTTAGGGTTTGAACCTGCGCCCATTATTAAGACTTCAACTAATGACAACGGCCACTTAGACAACTCTCTTAGCAGACTTATTTTGTGCTTACATTACAAATAATTATGCCTCCCTTTCGGTTTTGTTATGCAGTGTAATTGAGGCTGGCAATTACTTGGTACCTGCTTTCTACCTGTTTGTTGCAGTCTACATGCCATAGCTCATAAGTCTTGCGGCTGCCACTGGCTGGCTGTAAAAATGTTGATGCATGCTTATATTTTCATTTTTACTTTTATTGCGAAATGGAATGGGCCAGGCACTGCTTGCCGTGAAGCTTGATGCGTATTATGTGATGGCCAAATGGGCTGGAAATGCTAATTTGATGGCTGCTTAAGCTTGTGCGCATTTTATTGCGCGCCCTGCTGCAACAAAGTCACAAGAGTCCAGGTGGATGCTTATCAGGGTGCTGCAGGTGCCACGCGACGGCATCTAAATTATGATTTTAACGGCTGCTGCATACGGCCGCCAATGTGCATTATAATTGGACTAGAGAGAAGCGAGTTGGAGCATCTGCTGGCTCATCAACTGCTTGCCACATGTTACGTTACTGTCTCCGACATGCATCAGGCGTGGCAGCAAGAGCCAAGGGAGTTGCCAATAAAAGCCAAATAAAATGTCGGTGCGCACTCAGCCGTGACAATGGGCAAATAGTTGAGTTTCGTGTGTGCGGTGGCAAACTGTAAATGTGACTCGCGTTGGCCATGGTTGTGCACATGCCACACACGCTGCGTTGCACAGAAATGGCTGCGTCATTGGCTTTGGCCAAAACCAAACTATGCAAATCGAACAAGGCGAATATTGTAAAGCGAAACGATCAGCTATGCTATCAGTTGGCGCTAAAACCACTTGTCATGTGCGGTTTGTGTGGTTTAATTAAAATTGCGCATCCGCCATGTGACACCAAATGGTGCTGCGCCTTTTGCAGAGCGTGTAGATAGTTTAAGTTTTCAGCTAAAATACTAGATATATTGGTCTGTATTTGTGTGGGTATCACGTACATTTGTTGCAAATAACAATAAGCTGGCAACTGTCGCATTGCAATGCTTCGTTTCCCCTTGTCGAAGTCAGTTGATTAACAACAATAGCGCAAACCGGAAGGGAAAAGCCAATGCCAAGCCATGTAGCTGACCACGGACATGGTTGGACATCTGCTCGCCTTACATGCGCCAAAAGTAACTGTAATAGCAAAGAGTTTGCTCAAGGAATGCTGCTGGGCACGCACACACACAGTCTCATCTAAGCCATATGTTAGGGTTTGTCAGGAGATTGAATTTGTGTCGTATCAGTATAGCTCAGAGTTAAATACAGGAAATTCAACCAGGTATAGTTAGAGCGTTTAGCTCAATGCAAAGATACATGAAAGTCAAAATAGTACAAGTTCTAACTTGAAGTGTAGACGAACTAAGCAAAATATTCAAACTAACTCAAATATTATAAGATTTATTTTCAACTACTTTCATAATTTGCTTTGAGCCAAAATCCTATCAATAGCTTAGTTCCTATCTATACATTTATAAGTCGAATGTTTGGAATTACTATGAACTAGGAGCAGCTTATCCACATATTTTGTGTGTGTGCCAGCAATTCAATAAGTTAAGCTTTGATCCCAAACTCTAGTGCACTTCATTCTTGACTACCCCTTGTGCATGCCTGTTGTTCGGCCTCAAATCCTGCTGAGCATGCTGAAAGGCAACGTGATGTGAAACGAACAGAAAATATTCTGGCAAATATTGCAGTCAAAGTTCGAAGCAGCGTATATGGCCGTGGTAAAGTTATGGCCAAGTTGGTTTTGCTGTGTGGCCTGGTGACCAATTACGTTCCGGCCAGCAGCCAAGACTCAGTCAGTCAGTCAGTAAGTCAGTGAGTCAGTGAGTCCGTCAGCTGCTCGAGTCGGCGACAACAATGGCCCACAAGAGAGCATGGCCAAGTGGACTGAAGTTGAGCCGAGTTGTGCGCTCCATTTAACCCCCAATGGGCACATTTTGAGCAGACGCTACGCTTAAATATTAAATGCCAAATAAATTCTGAAATGTGACCAACGAAAGTCTCAATCCATTCCCCAGCTCGCAGCCTGTATCGGCAGCATTGTCACCTAATGTCTCGCAATTGTGGTGCCAGCTGACAGGTGTTCTGTGTTTAATTACAAAGTCAAAAGTTTTTGCTTTTATTTATACTCAGCACAAACAGATTCGTTTGCCTATTTATCAAGGTTTTTATTACTGGCCCATTGATGCGGCAGACAAAAGCAGCTGACGCAGGATAAATATATATTTAAGGGATGATAATGGGGTTTTCTGGGTTGTTCTGAAATTGTTTTCAGCAAATTGATGTCGCTGCCTCCGCTCTCCCTGAAAGAAGCAAGTCAAGAGTACAGCGTACAAGCAGAGCACACAGGTGTTTGATTTTGCTGTGTCTTAGTTCCTTGACATCACGCATACGCCATGGTGTACGCCTTATTATTATACTCTGTTCAGATTGTAAAAGCGAGTATAATGAACCTACATGGTATATATATTAGCATAGTTGCATACGGAAGGAAAGAAAGAAGAAAAATCTATTTGTAAATAATAAACCAATTATGTAGGTTTATTATTTACAAATAAATTTTCTTTACTTTAGGCAACATTTTTCTCATATCACTCGTAGTTTTCGTTCTTGTTTAAACATTTGAACTTTTATATTTATCCATTTAGGCATTCACTTTACAGTCGCTGATAGAGTCAGAACCAAGAAAACTCTGTAACTCCCTAAACAGAGCATTGCTCAGTTGATCACAACTGCTGCTGCCTATTTGTTTCTGCTGCGCATTGCAATTTCATAGAATTTGTGCGCTTCGCTGGTTTTTTATTGCACGTTTATAGAGCAAAACGTGGCTGATAGCTATTTGAGCAGACACAGACAGTAAAATAAAAACAAATAAAAATAAATAAGAGGCAAGCTAATAAAATCATATGCATTGCGTTTGCATAGCTAGTTGGCTTGATGCTTAGTCCAGGCGGCAGCTAGTTAGTAACTAAAGCTAAAGCTAAAGCTAAATTTAACCTATGTGCTAGTGTATAAGCCTGGCTTAAACCAGTTAAATATAGCCATATATATATAGATATATATTGGTTGGGTTTGCAGTCAGAAACGTAATTTCCTCGTCTCAATGGCAATCATAATACTTGGCACTTACCTTGAATACCTGACGGCAAAGGAAATTCTCTTTAACCGGAAGTAGTCTGTAATAAATAAGTTCGACATTTTTGTCTTTGACAAGCACTGTGGCATTGCGCTACTTACTTGGCCATTTCCGAGAGCTGCAAACGACCATCCTTATTGGCATCGAACACTTGAAGCTATATGTGTGCGGGATAGAGAGAGAGAGAGTGAGAGAGAGAGACGAAGAGGGTAAGCATAATGAGCTCAATGACAGAACTTTTATACCTAATTAATGATACATAAATTGGTTGTCTCCTTTGAGACCACGTATACCAGCCCCAAAAATAAACACATACTCGTAAATCGACTTAAGTTAGTTGCAAAATGCCCTTTACTCATGACTTTTGTTCGCCCTAAGTGCAAGCCGTGCTAAATTTTAGCTGGCAAATATATTTCACATTCGTTTCTCGGAAATTCGAAATAAATTTTTCATGCTCCATTCGTTAAGCGGAGCACTCTCTTGGGGTCTGTTCTTTATGTTTGCGTTAATGTTTATGTTACTTATTTATTTTGCTTGCTTTATTTTTGGCTGATTGATAGGCTGGTAAAATATATCAACTAGCTTAGCTAACATAATGTTCAAATATTATATATACTATATTTTATATTACTTGATAAGATGTCTTGGAAGATGTAACCAATGAGAGAGAAATTTTTAGATATTTGAATCAAACTTCTGCTTCAACTGGCTTGCAAATGTTTCTATGCAGATTAGCATAGAAAGACATGAGAAATTAGATAGAAGGAATTAGGCTCGAACACTCAAATGCTAATGACCTTCTAGATAATGAAATAAAGTTTTTGTTTTAAGCGATGTGAAAAGTCATATCTAATTTTATTGGGCTATATTTTATAGAAACAATTTTTCGGTACTTTTCCTCAACTGCATTTAATCTTTGACAACTTTTCGGTTCTATCTTCAGCGCTGGTAATTTAACTTGCAAATGAGTTGCGAGTTTCACCAACGAGCAACATTTTTATCATCATTTATTGTGATACGTGCACCAAAAATAATGTCTAGAAGAGGGAGTTGCTGAACCAGCAAACGTGATGAGGAAGAGAGTGTATTGCGAAAGTCTTAGGAGTTGCAGACACAACACACATACATCTGCTTGCTGTTTTTCCATTATAAAGTTTTTAATTAACAGCACTTTGAGTGCATATAAATTGCGGCGCTAATGCGCATAATTCTTGTCATGCCAAAAATTAATTGCTATATTTTACGCCAGACTTGGCAAGCAAAGTGTTGAGGCCAACATTGAGATTGTCAATGGTCAGCTGTTTTTGTTGTAATGCACTTATTTATAATGAACTATAGTTTATCTGGCTAAAAGATTACGTATACGCACCATGGTGTCTGTGTATTCAATGAGCTTGTCCTCGGAGACATCGTTGATCTTTTTGGCCTCTTTGAGCAAGTCACGCAAGAAATTCTTAAGCTCATCCGCCTCAATGTACCCAGAATTATCAGTGTCGTATTCACGCCAGATCTAATCGACAAAATAGCATCATGAGAAAAATTAATTAGAAGGAAACATTTTGTATCAGCTTCGCACTGATAGCCTTGGCTTCTAAGTCACTTGGTCAGTCTGTTGGCGGAGCAGTGTCATGGGGGCTGCCCCTCGTTTAACGCTTCGTTGGCCAGCACTTACCTTCATGAATTCGACGCTTGATTCCAAGGGGTTATCGAAGCGGAAGAGCAAAAGGAAATTTTCTTCCATGGGCAAAAGTTGGGCAAGCTGTAAATACATTAATTTTCAAAAGAAAAAAAAGATATGTGTTAAGCAAAGTACTTGAGTGCGAGCACTTGAGCTTTAACTGACTTTAAAAGTAAGTTTAGCTTCGAGTGTAAGAAATGCAAGCAGTCGGAGTAAGTTTGTAGAGTGAGGTCTTTCTTCCAGCTTTAAGATGTACAAAGGACTTTTTTCCATGAGAGAACAATAAATTAGCAAATATAATAGATAAGCATATCATTCTTGACATGAGCTGCAATTGATTAGATTCATAAAACAATTTAGACATGTTCAAATTTCAATAGTTGTAAATATCAAAATATCAATTTACATTTATTGAATTTTCTAGGAAATATTGTAGTATTGTAGTAATTTTGTAATTGTTCTTTATGCATTCCCTCTGATGCTATTTTCGAAGAATTTCATATATTTTAAAGCCAATTCCTTTGCAATATAACCCAGTTAGTTTCTCTGTGAATCTAAAGCATAGATTTAAATAAACATGAAAATTCATCACTTCAAGTAATCGATAAAACTAACAGAAAATCCAGTAAATCGCCTTTCACAATACGACAAACAATTTCGCAGCTGCAGAGTGGGTGTGGTCGAGAATGGGAGACTATTCGACTGGGTTTGTGCTTCAGTTGCAGTGGAAATATTTTGTCTAACTAGAAGCAAAGTCTGTAATTTCAATTGCGTTGGCAGGCGAACTGCAACTCAAAACTTTAGCCGCATAGTTTAAGTGTCGATTCGAATTTCAACTAAAACACGAAACTAAGCCATACAAAAAGTTGCTGTTTTTAATTTCATTAAACAACATTTTTGATATTTTTGGTCTGCACTCAAGCTAATTACTCTTGGGCTGTGCTTTAGCCTATGGAGCTAGAACAAAACAGGGACCTTGAAAATTGCTAACAAAAGTTGAAGAAATTGTTGAAATGTTAAAATATGAGATGTGCTACATGGCGTATGTGTAACGAATAAATGATGAATGATTTGGGTGGCTGAGTGCTTTTTGAAGTCACAAAGGATTCGGACAAAACAATAATCAGAGATAACTAGAAGCTGCTACCTGACACAAACTTTGACTCATTTATCATGTGAGCAGGTCACAATGCAGACAGCAGTAGGTCTCTTCTCATTCATTAAATTTTTAAATTCACAAAGTATAAAAGCCACTTGAAGTACTATTGCTGCGGCACTGTCGACGGCTGTAAGCCTCAATTAAAAACTCATTTTAAGGAGGTAGCGGGAAAAACTTTTTCGTAGACCTTGGCACAAAACTTTGGGCCTTGGCAAATGGCGAAATGGCCAAATAAATTATTGAGCCACAGCAAATTGGCGCAGCAGGCAGAGCGAGGGAGAGCGTGCACAAATGCTACAGCATCATTTAAAAAGCAATTTCCAAAACGCAGCAGAAAATGTGGAGAAAGACTCTTACTAGAGATGGATGTCTTTTTGGTTACAAGCTGATATCCTGTTTGATAGTCTTTGATAATTTTTACTCACGAGTGGGTCGTATCCCATTGACTTCTATTAAGTCTTATTAACTAATTTTTAATCATAATAAAATAGCTGTGTAGTTTGGTTAAGGTATGTTGTAGTCGTACTCATTCATTTCGCATCTCGTTAGGTCATGTTTGAGTCGTGTTAAATCAGGCTGTAGTCATTCCAGCTCGTGCTACTTTGTGTTAAATCCTATAGAGTTGCGTTGAAACTATGTTAATTCGCCTAGATCCAAGTTGTGTTATTTTAAGATCTAGTCATAAACATTTGCGTGTTGTATTCCTTTTTATGTTGCGCTGTGCTTACTCGTGCTTACGCTTATGTTGACCATCAATATACAGCTGAGTTAAAACAGAGCACGCGCAAATTGAAACTTCGTATGGAACACGCGCTCAGTTCTAAGCCCCCAAAATAGATGTCATTGAAAGATATGCACGTACAGAGAAATTGCGCAAATGACACGTGTGGGCGTGGCAGAGCGTAAAATAAGCAAAAAACAAAAAAAACCCCTTAAAATGTCGCAGAAAGTTTAAAAGCAGCAAAGCTACAAAATTGCTTTGCAGTTGTGAGTCATGAGCATAAAATGCATGTGTCTTACCTCTCGGATATCGATTTTGCCATCCTGATTATCATCGTAGGCTTCCATGAAGCAGGACTTCAGCTCCTCCAGCATAGTATCAGTGACAGCCTAAAAGAAAAGATGCGAGAAGAAGTGCGAGAGAGATAGAGAAGAAGAGAGGAATTTTGATGAGTTTTTGATAGCATGAAAGAAGAGTTCACATTGTGTCCCGTTAACTTGGCGCTTACTTCTGGACTTATGTCTGTCACATTGGCGCTGGACACAAACTCGCGTAGAAAGCCATCCAGCTCGGTGCCCTCAATATAGCCATTGCCTGTAAAAGAAGTTCAAAATCGAGGCAGTCGAATAAATGACAAATTCGTATATACATACCGTCCTTATCGTAATGTGCCCATACATCCATGAACTGATTGGCTGATAGTTTCTTCAGCTCGCGTGATTCAGGATCGCGATATTGGCGCATAAAGTTGTGCGCCTTCTCGATTTGTACGCGCTTGGCGGCGGCGGCAGCTGCAGCGGAATCCATTTTACTTTATAGCTTATATATATTTTTCTCAATTTATATATATATACGAATATATATATATATTATTAGATGCGTGGGTATGTGGAGCACTTGTTCGCTGTTGGCGTAATCTGCAAAAAAGTTGCGCGGCAAAAGGTGTTTTAAATTTCAATTCAATGTGATTTGTTGGCAGTCACGTATAGCAATCGAATTGCGCTTAACATGAAAAACTACTTTCAACTACCCCTAACCCTATCTGTGTAGGTTCGACCCCAAAGTATTTTCAATTAGCTGTTGCATATTTCAAAGCGTTGTGGAAGAAAAAAATCTAAAAATTAAATCAATTAGTTTGACAGCTAGTTCATTATTGGCTTAGCGTGTAGACAGGGCGTAAATTCATGAGTGCTTGTGGGCGTGGGTGGAGCTTTAAATTAATAGCATAAAATACACGCACTCACATACACAGGCACACACACACACACGCACGAGTGCCCACATAAACACAGCTTTGAGCTGCCGCTGTGCTGACCACGAGTCCGTGCAACTATTTGAAAGCTTGGAAAAATGAAGAGAGAGAACTTCTAGCCTTGCACTGCTGATGCTGAAATACTCTTTAAGGTCATTGCAAATGTTGTCCCAACGGCTTTTATATATTATATTCACTATATTTATTGTGAAATCTAATTTATAAAATTCAGTAATCAAGCTGTTGAAGTTATTCAGTTTTCAAATTCGTATTTCTTATATTTCAGACAAATTATTGCTATAAGTAATATGATATATATATATATATATATATATATATATATATATATATGTCATAATGAATTAATTTATAGTGAAAGCACAAAAGAATATGAGAATACATTTAAATAGTTCGATAAATATATATAGATAATTCTTTAGATATACGAAATCATTTAAGATGAATATAAATATCAAATTATCCAAATACATAAATAATATTATATTTGTGAAGATGAAGAAGAGTGGCGATCTTTCGTCATTAGGGTATTCAGCTTATTTCTGGAGTTTCAGTTCACTAGTTGAGCATGTTTGCAGCATAAACTATTTTTTTTTTTTGAATTAATGTGATTTTTGATGGAACAATTTTAAAATGTTTTCCCACATAAATTCCTTTTGTTAAATTATCAATGGCTGAAATAATTCTCTCTTTTTGATCAGATACAGTAGTTTAACTGAAAACAAATTTCACTACAAATTGCACGAGGTTTCGCAATTTATAAGGGGTAAATTATTTGCGTCAAAAAATATTACGATTTAGGGACGGAATGAAATGTTACAAATTAATGATTTTTTTTTCTAACAGCAGTTTTCATAAATTATTAAGATTTATGACTTAGCAGGGCGCAATTTGTCGCGACTCGGCGTTAACCACTAATTATTGTAATGAATTTAGCTCTGAGTTTTTTTTTTAATATTACACTAGAATTTGTTTGTTCCTAAACTCAATTTGAATGCCTAGCAAAGTCTTTTTCTATTAATTTGAATATTAATTCCTGATTAACTTATCAATTTCTAAAATATACTATTGAATGAGCCTTATGAACTCTCCTACATATTGTATAAATAGCATTGAATTCAAAGTTCTCTGCAAAGTGAAAATGGAAATATCCTCAAAGATACCCTATAGAATGTTATTAAAAAAGCGCAACTAACAAGATTAGAGCCAACACGCAACAAAGTTGTGTGCGTGTGTGCTTGTGTGAGGGTGTCTGATAAGCTTCTATGAAATGTGGCAAGAACTCGCTGCTTTCTTCACTTTTGAACTGAGCTAGCTTCGTGCAGAAACGCTGCAGGGTAAATCGCCTCAGTCCGCTGCCCTGACCCCGCCCACGCTCGATCATATCAGCAGCAATCGCTGTGAGTTAAATATGTACTTATGTTTATAACAAAGAGAATGCGATATAAATTGCTTTACAAAGCAAAATAACAAGCATAAATTACTGTGCACTTTGTTATTGTGTTTCTTGTTGTTGTTGTTGCTGCGTGTCTGCTGTGCGGTCGCTGCGGGCGTTGAAACAAAGCAACAATCCAAAGCAAAAACAAAAAATATTGAAAAGAAAAACAAAAACAATTTAGGAAGGAGGATGAGTCTGCGGATGAGCTGCAGCCTCAGTCGCCGCAACGTCAGGATGTGCACTAAGCGTTTGTCCTGCTCGGAAATTGCGGGCGGCATTTTGTCTGCTGGCTGTGGCTCCTGTGGCATATCCACTCTACGGCGGACACGGCCTGTGCGTCACGGACATGTTGACACCCTTTTTCTTAGTTTTTCGCACAGCTGCCGCCAAATGAGTTGGGCAACGAAACACAATCAATGCGGGCTCATGGGGGCAACTTGTTGCTGCTGTTCCTGTTGTTTTATGAACTTTTGTGAAGTATTTCAATGATGTCATACATTTTGCAGCTCACTATTTTAAAGTAGTTTATATAATTATTTTATGAAGTATACAGCTAGACATTGACTGTCTTTCTCTTTATATCTGTTTGAAAATTGGTTATTAAAACTCAAACAATTTTGCTCGAATCGTTGACTTCATACAATTGACATGCGAAATAGGTTGTCATACTCTACATCGATTTTTGCTGATTTATTTAAATCAGGAAAATAAATTTTTTTTGGTCATACAGCTTACCACAATTGCTTTATTGATGAATTAAATAAAGAAAAATTATATTTATTTTTATATGTTGCGCTGCCATTCGAACGTTCTTTACCGCGTATGAATTCTTATATCGATATCCAGGCAACGTTTCTAGACCTTGAACTGTCGGCGTGTTACAGGGCTACTAAATAGATTTAAACTCAAAATAGTTTGAATTTATGAAACAGACCTTAACTCTCTTTGGTCTGCACAGGATGACAAGAAGCTGATTGTTCGATTGCATAGCTAATCCATACTCTATATGTGATGACTCAATTTGAAAACAATTTATTTATGGCTTGACTAGAGGACTTTGCTCTTCATAATCTAATTCGAAGCATTCTTATTCACAGAATAAAATATATAAAACTATAAAAGACTTAATATTTAAGTTTAACTAGTTGCTAAAAACTGCATGTTTGCCTCCAAAAAAATATGTTATTATATTTTGCAGCAAAGCAAAAAAAAATGCTAAATGCTTCTTCTGATTTAAGAGTGCAAGTACTCAATCAAATCAATATTAATCAAATGAAATATATTCTGATGTTGTCTAAAAGCTAAGAAAGTAGAAAACACCAATGCCTGAGCGTCTTTTAAGCAAACAACTAAGCAATATAATCATCCATCTTAGGAACTGAAACCTTTTCAATGTTAAAGATAACCTTTTTTCGAGATAACCTTAGCTATTCTATAAGTTTTGAAATTAAATTTTGGCTGTAAGGGTATTAACAATTCGCTCTTGTTTACAAGCGAATTCTATAGCTGCATTGGCGCCTGAATGTTACACAACTTTCAACATGAACAACATGAAAAGCAAACTGCAACAACAATAACAGAAAAGGGATCAACTACTGAACAAGACTTTGAAAAGTTTTAGTACATTTAGTACCTGGCAGAACATACAAAGTGTGAACTTTGACTGGAAAACTAACACGTTCCACTGTGCAGCTGATTGCATTTACGGCAGCAGCAGCAACTGCAACTGCAACTGCAATTGCAATTGCAAAGGCAATGGCAGTAGCAACTGCTGCTTAAAGACTTACCATCTAGAGTTGTGTGTTGACATTTTATGGCTAAAGGGAATTGCATTGAAAGCCAACATTCTGGGTCAGGCTCATTAGAAGGACCTTCGCATTGTTGGCGCGCCGTTTGTTATTACAAAACGCATAAAGGACTACAAATACGAGTTGCATAGCCAGAAGCTATTGCAGCTTTTCGTTGTTGTTGTTCCTGTTGAGATTGTGCAATGGCATGTGAGGCAACAAATATATTTATACTTGTGCAGAATATGTGAAAAACTTTCGCTATGCATTTTGCTTTAGATGGCACTCGAAAAGGCCAGCTCTCATTGCGTTTTTCAGTGAAAATTTCCGCATGCCGCATGCCACATGCCACATGGCTGCTGCCAGCTGCAAGCGCTGCTAATGTTTGCCAAGCGAATTCTAGCTGCGTACTAGTCCTGCTGCTCTCAACTATATAAGTTATGGCCCAGATTAGTCCGCTGTGAGAACTCTTTCATATATTATAGTATAATTCACGCTGCTGTTGCTGACAGCTGCACTCGGGCAATTTTCGAGTGCCTAAAAGATATGAATAGCAAAGGCAAAAGATCCGATACAAAAGTTTTGTTTGGCTGAAAACGTAATTTAAGAGTAGAAATCAAAGTGGAAATCTAAACAAATTTATTCTGTATTTTCAGAATGAGCAAAAACCCCGTGTTATTTTCTAGGTCAACAGTTTTTTATACCAAGCATTATCACAATATAATATTAATAAATTTCGAACAAAAGCGCAAATAAACATTAAGAAAAGATTTTAGCACGAGGGCATGGAATTTATACTAAGTGTTTAAATAAGAGATTTCAGTATACCGAGGCGTATTATTTTAATACTCTTTTTATTATAAACTTATTGTTTTGTGCACAAAAAGCCCCAAGGAAAAGACTAATTGAAACTAATGTTTTTAAAAACAAATTAATTTCGAAAAGTTTAAAGCGATAATTTATTTTTTGATTTAAGAGTTTTTAGTACAACGAGACGTATACTTACTCTTGTTTTTTATTTAATTTCTAAGCAAAATATAACCATTTTTATAGTTGGCGTAACGAAAAAATAGCAAAGTTATTATAGGCATGGCTCTCCTTTCACTGTAAATGTTACTTAATTACTTAACTTATTGGTATAATAAGCTCTGATGTCCTGCTTTTCTTCGCCTTAAATTTAGTGCTAATTAATTAATCAAAGTAGTGAATGAAGAGTTCATAAGTTCCAATGTGAGTAGGCTGTTCCAGTTGGTTCTCACACGCACTTTGCTAATAAACTGGGTGTGCATAAATATTTACTATAAATATTAAGTATACGCACGGCACATGAACATTTTGAGTTACAAATAAATAAGAAATTTTATTTATTCTGAAACATGCTCAAACATTGAAAACAATTGAATGAATTTCACTCAACTTGTC